AGCGTCGTCATCCAAAGTGGCCGGTAGTGCTCGGAGCGCCTGTGCGTCCGACCAGCCCACCATCTCTTGGTGGCTCAGGAAGCGACGCTGGAACGCCGCCCAATCGCCCCCTTCAGATGTGAATTCTCGGAAGATGGGCAGGCGTTGTTGGAGGGCGGACGTCGTCTCCCCCTCAGCTTGTACCGTCTCGAGCCGGAGATCGGCGATTTCCCAGCCGATAGAGTCTACTTTACCGTGTCGGTACAGTGATGACGCGGCGTCCGCTGAGAAACTTGAATTCGCAGCGTCGCGTGCTGATGACGTTGCGGGTTGTGATGGGCCCCCCGCGTTCCCAGGATGCCCCTGGCTTCCGCTTCCGGCGGAATCACGTGGTTCCCCGGCGGGAAAATCAAAATGTCTGCCCTGGCCGATGGCGGGAACGTCTGCCGGCGGTTGACTCGGCCTGCCCGCAACCTCCAAGTTGATCTCTTCGAGAATGGAGGCCGCGGCGTGTAGGAGTTGAGCGAGACGGCCGTGTGCTGCCCTGAGTCCGTCCCCCATGGCAGGGGGAGCAACCGGCTGCTCAACCGGTGGCTGGGCGGCCGTCAACGCGGCAGCGTTTTCAGCGGAGCTGGCGGTGCATGCAGGTGAGACAGCGTTATCTTCGTTCTGGCTCCGCGCGTGGGCTGAACTTCTGGTTTCCATTTCCACCCCACTTCTGACACCAGTTGTAGTGTTGTAAGGACGAGCAGACTTCTTTAGGAGGCACACTCTGTTGATTGTATTATTTCCTTATACATCGCTTAACACACACAGAGGGATATTCGGTCCCCTCACCCGATACCCTAGGGAGGTACAGCTTCCGGACTTGGCGGGACTCACACGTCTACCGCTAACCTCCTTGATACCTAAGGAGGTACAACCTCCGGATTTGGCGGGACTCACACGTCTACCGCTATCCTAGTCCTCCGGCTAGGACCTAGGGGAGGCTATCTGACCCACCGCTGGCCCGGTGGGTCCTGACCACTGGGTATGCCGAGCCTTAGCCCTTAGAAGGGCTGAAAGGCTGGTCCAGGGTCCTAGCTAGGCTTCAGCCCAGTCTTTTGTCTTCGTGCAGGGAGCGAACTCCTCCAGGTCCGTTGGGTCACCCGTCTTATACCCCTTCGTGGCCAGGTAGAACCAATCATACATTCCCACGTGGAACCGTCTGATTGGTTCGCACCAAACCCTGGCCACGATCCGTTTCACCTCGACTGACCCCAACCGTTGTACCCAGGGGTAATGCTGCACCGCCCTGGTGGCAACGCGGGTTACGCAACAGCGCGTAGTTAACACCTCTACACATTTCTACGTGATGATAAGCCACTTTGTTGAGCTATCCTTTGTGATAGCCAGGTTGCTTCTGTAAAAGGGCTGTATAAGCTCAGCGGGCCTTACCTGGTAAAATTAAAAAAGTTAAATAGTTTAATCTTCAATAATGGTGTTGCCATGATGGTCTTTGGTCACATGTTGATGACAAGTGAACATTTCTGCTGAGACGAGGTTGGGTGAAGGTTGTCCGGGTGGTGGTGTACAGTGTGAATGAATTGTTGACTTTTGCACGGGGCACGCCATTTAGACTGGCACACTCGCGTGTTTAAGAGGGCCTTTCTAGGTGGATGTCTTTAATAGTTTTGTGAAAATAGAGATTTTTTTCAAGTTACTTGCACAATTTTTATTTTGATCTCACACCTGCCAAAATCACCACACTTCCCACATCATCACATGTCACTAAATCTAGATTGGAAACTCATTTATTTTAAATAGCTATTTGTGTTTAGTTTGTTGACCTTCCCCCTGCACCTCCCATTAACATGGTTGGCTATGTATGGTGCAAAAGAAGTTCATCAATACTAAAATCTCCTCTCCACCTCCTCGCGTTCTCTCTGCCAAGCCTGCCCTTCATCACGCTTCAGCAACCATGGCAAAAAAAACACTGTTGTCTGCACTTCTTCAAGGGAGAAAGTGCAAAACTACACAAACTCTGCCCCGAAGCCTTCGTGTGGCGAGCATACCTCGACATTGGTATTTAGATCTTGAACATATTGCTGCCATACGCAGAAATATAATAGCTCACGTAATCTGCACATCCCCCACCACCACCCCCTTGGTGACAGAGGACAACGTGTTCCGTGGCTGTAACAGTTGGTAAATGTGTGTCACCAATTGGGGGCCGTAAGGCAGCACCAGCGACCTACCAAGGAGGGCAGTGCGAGCTCTTTTTGTTAGCACCGTACGTCGACAACCGTGCTAATCCGAGGTGCTGGGAAAGGAGAACAAACTAAATACAAAAATCAATTATAAAGAAATTCGTTTTCATTGCATAGTTCCAGTGGCTTCCTAATATCGCAAGGAAGAGTGTTCCATACGGCCGCAGAAACGAATTTGAATGCGTGCGATGCGCGGTGACCGTCTTTGATGGATAGCCAAAAGCTGCTGCGTGGACGACAGGAGATCGCGTGATAGTTTATGCTCCTTCGCGAGATCAGCAAGGTATTGCGGTTCATTTGTGGAAAGGACTTTGTGTGTAATGAGTGCTTAGAGCAGTGAGTTCACCTCCTCTGCAACATGGCTCCAGTTTTTGTGAGGCATCGACTTCAGAAATGTTTCTCCTTCTGTTCAAAGGACTCATGCCTCTTGTTGATTCTTTGATTCCTTCTCTTTAATGGCCTGCTAGCTATCCCCGTTGGGGTTGTCCACAATTCGGTCCACTAAATAAGTAATATATAAATAAACTTTTTTTAAAAACACGCTTTAATTAAATGTACCCTTCTAGTAATGGCAAAACTCCACGACTCCAGGAAGTGGCCCCGAAGCTTGCCACAACGTAAGGGGACCGTGGTCATTTACAGCCAACGTGAGTTTACTGTAGACAATTAGACCCAAGCCGAAACATAACATATACAAAATAATGTTTCAAAATATTTAAACATTAAAAATATTTAAACATTATTTTATAGTATTGTCATCAGTATGACATAAGGATACCAAGTTTGCAGTCGATACCACATTGGGAAGTGGCTTAAAATGTAGTTACAAGATTTGAGGATACAACAACGTGAGTTAGTAAAAAGCGTGTAAAAAACACGTCGTAAAACGCAAAACATCTCTGTTGGGGAACAAATACATACACAGTACTTCATTAAAACGATGTATTATATAATTAGTATAAATAGATGTAAAATGTTAAGCACGTTTAATGTTTGTTTTTCCAAATGAAACAGAATATGCTCTCCTACTGGACGGCCATGCAGCCGATGGGTTGTGGAAAAAGACTTGAGTTTTCTATGTGGGGAGACGAATATGGGAAGGAGGAACTCTTTTTATTTAGTGATTCTTTGAATCATTGTCGACTCCCCTTTTCAAAACGGATGAATGAAGCATTATTTTCACAATTGAGGCATTTCATTGTTATGTAAACATTTACTGAATACTAATTTTGATCTCAGAGCTGCTCCTTTGATTTTGTCCACATTTTTTATTGATTTTAGTCCAGAAACATTATTTTGTCATACTGTGAAGAGAATGCGTTACTTATTCAGACATAACATCTGGAACGTCCTCATGCGAATGTTGTTTTTTGTATCCTGGGGTATATGATGTTTTTGCTGGACAAGTCTGCATATGATTTGCGATTTCGTCTTGGTCGTGTTATGGTTTTGCATTGTAGGTTTTCTAGTTGGAATCATTATAGTTGGAAACATTGAGGGGAGAACAGGAGAGAACCCCCCACACATTTAAACGGTGGTTTTTGTATTACAGAGGGATATTTGAATGGGATCCTTTTGTATTTTTTGGCAATCAAAACAACTTTCTTGGATTCAGAAATACTTCAAATCAGATTCAGGAGCTCTTTTTTTTTACAGATATGCAGGAAGGTTAGAATAGTACAAAACACGATAGGAGTGTACATTATAGGTAAGTCAAACAAATCACTTTGAAAATAAAGCGATTTTCCATAGCAACAGTACACCCTTATGTACCGTCATGTCAAAATGCAACAAACCCTTAAGCCTCTCGAGCTGTGGGCACAAGTTGTGGAAAGCTGATGCTAGATGCAAAAGCTAGGTGGCCCAGGTAAATGATTAGTTTGTGACAAAGTTTATCTTTTTTTGTAAAATTAACAATTCAGACCATTGAGGCATTACTACAGGATTGCTAATGACGTCGAAAGGAAGCTAGGTGGCCCAGGTGCAGCTAGGTGGCCCAGGTGCAGCTAGGTGGCCCAGGTGCAGCTAGGTGGCCCATGTGCAGCTAGGTGGCCCAGGTGCAGCTAGGTGGCCCAGGTACAGCTCGGTGGCCCAGGTGCAGCTAGTTAGCCCAGCTGATGCTAGATGCAAAAGCTAGGTGGCCCAGGTGCAGCTAGGTGGCCCTGGTGCCGATAGGTGGCCCAGGTGCAGCTAGGTAGCCCAGCTGATGCTAGATGCAAAAGCTAGGTGGCCCAGGTGAAGCTAGGTGGCCCAGGTGAAGCTAGGTGGCCCACGTGAAGCTAGGTGGCCCACGTGATGCTAGATGCAAAAGCTAGGTGGCCCAGGTGAAGCTAGGTGGCCCAGGTGCAGCTAGGTGGCCTAGGTGCAGCTAGGTAGCCCAGCTGATGCTAGATGCAAAAGCTAGGTGGCCCACGTGAAGCTAGGTGGCCCACGTGAAGCTAGGTGGCCCAAGTGAAGCTAGATGCAAAAGCTAGGTGGCCCAGGTGAAGCTAGGTGGCCCAGGTGAAGCTAGGTGGCCCAGGTGAAGCTGGATGCAAAAGCTAAGTGGCCCAGGTGAAGCAAGGTGGCCCAGGAGATCTGGTATTTAAATCAGATTTTCCAGTTTGGTGAGTCGGTGAGCTCATCTCATGAACATTTATAAACCGGTTTGATAAACATCCGATATGCACCGCGTGCGGGGGAATGTAAAATGGTTGCCTCTACAGGGTGGTCCAGATGTATTGTGACCCACAATTTAAAAAAAATTCCCTTTGTTTTATTAAGTTTTAAATAAACCTTACCTTAAATAAAATACAGTTTTAGATCATTAAATGGGGGGTCACAAGACATCTGGACTACCCTGTAAGTGTGGATGCAGAGGACTTAAGTTACTTTCTTCGTAATTTCCTGGAATGGCTGCTCTCTGGGAGAGTTTCGTATTGGTAATTTCTTCACCTTGGGAAATGGTGCCAATAGCACAATTTAATTAAAACCAATTGGAAACAATTATGACAAATATATACAGTACCATAATTTATTTTTGTAAAAAAGAGCGAAACGAAATACACTTCTGAGAATAGGTTTCACCCCTTGATGGCAATACAACAGGTGTTAAGATGTTTAAACACCAAATAGAAACCTTTTTCAAGGAATCAAGTCTGCATTAACCACACGTACTTGTGGTAAAACATGGAAACAAAGTTCTCTGATATATTGATTGCCTCTGAAACTGATTGGCCTACACCAGAGGCAGCCTTCTTTATGGCCTTATCTCACCAGTGTCACACCAGAGAACGCCAAAAGGCGAATAGTTAACGCGTGTTCACGTGTGCCACGTGGGCGCGGTGAGATTGAGAAATGATGTGGGCCAAATTGCGTTTCATGAGTCACATCCGGGCTGTTTGACATGACACAATTGCGTTCAGGTTCTGGGGCTCACTCGGGCCTGATTCGTTGGGGCTCAGAAGTGCCGTGGCCAGCAGCTGTGAAGTCGAGTGGCCCCGTCTCTCTCGGTCGCAAGGCGGCACAATCAAAGGGTAAAGTCAAGTAAGACCGGGGTCTTCGGGGTGCTCTCTGTTTGCCGTGCTGCATCTTAGCTCATATGACCTTTTCCGAAATGATAGGCACAGTGCCACGGTGTAGCCAAGTTGCGTATTCCGTGCAATGTACATCGTGTTGTATGTTTGAGGGCAATAGTTTTAATAGTTGATACAATTTTCTTTCAGTGTGAAATTCGGTATCATGTGTAATGTATTATATGTAGTCTGATTATGATATTTACATTTCATATGTTACGTTGGAATATTATGATATGTATTGTGTAAGATGTACATATAACTATTGATAGTTCTGTAATGATAGGTGAGCTTTTGCTGATAAGGATGAACGTATGTGTGTATATATCATAATCAGAATATGTATTTATACTGGAGGAATCCGATGAGCTGTGAAGCTCTTTTTCACAGATATCCAGTAGGGTGGGTCAAAACGTTACAACAACGAACGATACAATATAACAACGACAGTGCAAAGTATAGGAAAGTTAAGCAAATAATTTACATATATATACAGATACAACTGAATATTTTTTTTGTCTATTAAGTGGTCGCACAGTGCATAGCGCACTGGCCTATGAACTTAGCGCCCCGAGTTCGATTCCCAGCCACTGCTAATGTCAGTGGCGAGTGGATATCTCGACCTATCCCGAGCCCTCCGCTCTGTCATTCAGGCTCAACCGAGTAGCACCACGTGCAGTGGTGAAACGTCAGCACCGAGGACACAAAGGTGTAGTGCTGACTACGCCGCTCTCCCCCGTGGCGTGCCGGCCTGATTGAATGTTCGCTGACAGCACCAGCTTCTGTGGTTCAAAAGGTGAAACAGGTGAACTGTTTTTTTTCCCCATCGTTACGTGTGTGCTAGTACAGCATGTGTATGGAGGGGAGCGGTGGTGTAACGACGGTTAGCGCTACGCTGCGCTACAAACCCCGGTGACCCGAGCTCAATTCCCGCTTACGGTCAACGCCAGTGACGATTATCGGTGCTGGGATTCCCCTAGGTTGACTCGGACTCAAATGAGTACCTGGTGCGGTGTGTAAACATTGCCACTGGGGTGACAAAGCCGGAGAGGCGTGGTGCAGGTCACCCACCCCCTCTTGTACCATGCCGGCTTTAATAGGCGCTCGCTAACAGCACTTGCCCCAACAGTCTGTTAAGGCTATACGGGGGTGTTTATCTTTGTTTTTTGTGTATGGAGGACACAAGAAGGATGAAGTGTGTTTGTGGGTATAAGCAGGGATGATTTATAGTGTGCGGGAGTGAGTGGTCGAGACAAGAGCGACTGTATTATTCTGTCCTGCACTGCTTTGAGGAGTGTTGCTCATTCATTTTGGATCAGACACTTTACATGTTTGACTTACTGCTTGGTTTATTTTAAGGTGATACACAGCATAGAGTTGTAAACCGGTTATTGGTTGTTTGATAATTGTTTACAGAATCGACAAGCAATTCCAGTGGTCATGGAAGCGATGGTTAGATTAATTTTCGATTTTAAGCTTTCATGACTGCAGGGATTCATATTCTTGGTTCTTTCGGTAAAGTCACGTAGTAGGAAAATAATAAAAATTAAACAATAAAATTATCACGACGTTTCGATCGCAACACAAGCAATCATCATCAGGTGTGAACACCACAGTAAGAAAATTAGATTAATTTTAGTAACAATCGATTGGATTGGCACACAATGATTAGCATGGTTGAATACGTATGGCGCGAAAGAAGTTCACTGTACATACGTACCGCACGGCGCGTTCCAATGTGTTAGCAATGTTGGCAACCCATGGCATACAAGTAATGGGTTTTCACGTGTAATATTATACACACACAACAAAACACGTAACGTTTCGTTACACTGCTGGATAAAGGTTTCTTTCCGCGTCATGTCGCTCATGGGCGCTGTTTGACTCATTTGACTATACGTCACCATGCAGGTCATTGCGAGTTGTTGGTCAACGGAAATTATTTTTCTCTCTCTCTCCAATTTTTGTTTCCGCGTGCGATTATCAAAAAGACTGAAATAGAAGTGAGCAACTCGAGTTGTCAATAACTGTACGTTAGGTTGCTGTCCACTTTTGGCTACCACACCCTTTACACTGGCACTTCCTATTTTATCATATATTATTTATAAGCACCATTAATTTTCCGTTTTTTTTTAACGGCTCCTCTCCACACTGCCGTGCAGGCATCCACAATTCCCAATCCATACTGCATTGGTGTTTGGTCTCCATGTGTATTGTCTGGCACATAAATGAAAAAAATAACTTGTTTCAAACTTTCCTATGACTTGTGCTGAGAATTAGCTGCACAGGGCATTTATGTTGTATGTTTGTTGAACTTCCTTCGCACAGTACGTAACCGGCCGTTCTTATCGGAGGTGCGGGGGATGCTTCGGCATCGCCGTTTGAAGGTCGTGAGTTGACGTCGAGGTCAGGGTTGATAAGTTGATTCACCACTCTGGAATGTCAATGCTGGTTGTCTTCAAGGATTATTCCCTCCCACACACGGCACATTTCCACGGCTAGCTTGGAGACTGCTGCTGGGATTGAGCAGCCAGTCACCTGGTCTCTGACTTCGGGGCGCCACGTTGGCACCACGTTGGCGGGATGTGAACTAAGGTCGTGGGTATGATCTCGACCCTGACACCTGTACATTTGGTGTTGGTGTTGGCGTGGTGTTGGCCACTCACCCCGTCCTGCGCCGTGATGGCCTTCATACGTGCTCGCTAACAGCACTTGACCCAACAGTCTGTTAAGGCTATACGGGGGAGCTTTGTCTTGTTTGTTATTTATACACCAGAGAGATAACAAGTAGCCAGCCAGGGCCAGATGGCTCATGGTGCAGCTCGCAATCGTAAAGATTTGCGAGTTCAAATCCTGGCCTGCGGTTTGACTCGGAAGATGGTTGCTCTGGCCTTAATAAAAATAAGCACCGCTTTTTGTGGAGATGTCAACAGTGGTTGTCCCCTGGATAGTTTTCTTCCATGACATAGTACAAATGCGGAATATCCACCACTGGCTCAGAGCTGTAAACAGGAAGTTAGTGCCGCATCATTGCTCATTTGTGCAGGAAACGTGTTGAGTGATTGTTGCCAATATTATTATTGTTTGTGGACCACACTTTTGCTATTCGCCATGAAGAAGGGTGGCAATTGTATTCATTCAGTGAAGCTTCTCTTAAATCCACTACTCTTACCATCCATATTTCCACTCGATCCACATAAAATTGTTTTCTGCAGGTGGATTATTCCTGTTATTAATTTATTGGTGGAAAATGTATTCACCCTAGATCCATGTTCATTTGTGTATTAGTCACCCACATGTAGTCTGCAAATGGTGTTTATTTCAGCCTCTTAGTCACCTCTGTTGTATGAGTTTCGGGGAGTTGCAAGAGCGGATGAATTGTGTGGACCAAAGTGATTTCTTGAGATAACAAAACTCACCAAAAGTGTCTCTGCATCACCACGCATGAAAGGGGTTTAATGTGTAGCTATCCCCAGCTATCATTTGTAAATAACCCAAGCACTGTTTTAGTGGGCCACCAACGCTCACCACATTTCAGTTTAGAGTATCTATAAGTTTCCACGTAGGGGAAATTTAGAGACTGACATCACAGGAAAGCAAAACCACCCTGATACGTTATAATATGCAGTGCGTCATCATACCTGACCCCTAGCATGTAAACCGGTCTAGGCCACGGGCAACGTAGACTTTTGTACTATGCTGTGTTTAACTTTGTCTGCAGTAATTCCTAATGTACTGCAATTTTGGTATAAGTGAATTGACCTTGAAATTATCATTGATATTAAAGTTGTGTTTGTAGTGATGAATTATCAACACAAGTTGCAGTGTTAAGTGGTTATTTGTTTGCTTTGTGATGGTGGATGTTTAATCCAGGCTTGGTGCTTAACTACTTAATTCAGAGTAGGTACTATTGCTGTATGTATATTGAACTTCTTTTGCACCGTACATAGCCATCCGTGCTAATCGGAGGTGTGGGGGGAAGGACGACAAACTACTGTTGGTAGCATCGCGTGTTTTAATGACGTAAATGTTTGCGACCACCGATACACTTGCCTGTTTCCTCGTTAAAGTCTACTCAATTCAGACCTTGCGAACATTCAAAACTGACCAAACCCTTATCGTCGTGTGTCGCTGTGTTGAAACGGCAGGTTTTGTACAGGCTGTGTTCGACACCTCGATGTGAAGATGTCCAGCAAGACGCTTGACAAGGCGATGCGCAGCAAGCTCATTGAGGAGGGCCTCCGGTTCCTCCAGTGAGTGTGGCGGGGGGGGGGGGCTCCCTGACCTGCACAGAACCCTCCAAACACTTTGCAACTGAAGTCGGCGGCTTGGGTTAGCGTGAGAACCGCAGCAGACGATGCAATTACCGATCACAATGGTTTTTCCACGTGTAGAAAATACTGTTTTTTACCATGTGTGATGTTAACTGCCTTTTCTAGTATACAGGAGGTCGTGGGTTCGATGCCAACTCTGACGCCTGCTGTATATTTGGACTTTGCATGGTCGTGTGGATTTTTCTCGAGAATCCTGCGTTTAGTTTTCAGTTTCAGTTTATTTTTCAGTTTATTTATTTTGGTATAGCCCTGTGAGCCATTCGGCTCTTGAATCGGGTGCAACCACAACAAACAAAAAAACAAAAACACGAACAAGAAAAACATCTTAAAGTGACTGGAGTAGTTAGCTTTTATAAATGTCCGCATGATAAGCCACTTGGTTGAGCTATCATTTCTGATTGCCAGGTCGCTTCTGAATCAGAGCTATATAGCTCAGTGGGCCTTACCTGGTAAAATAAAAATAGTTTAGTTTACAATTTAGTTTATAGTTTAGTTTATGCCTGCGGTTGTGAAGCAATTGAAAATGTGTACGTGTGTTTAATTTGAATTTTGTTCTCGCTTTTGTTTTTCAGATCCCCGCAGCCTTTTGACGGCTCGGACAGTGAATATGAGGTAGTTTTCTTAGCATCGTCGTTGTGTTTTATGTCAATAACACAATTCACAAATATGTTTTTTCTTTGGTAGGGTGCAATCTATTACATTGCAGAATATATATGTGTGCATGCTATGAGAAGGTAAAGTAAACAAACAGCCCTTTCGATTTAAAGGCCGCTTGTGTTGTGGCCGAAACGTCGTGAGAATTTTAGTGTGTCATTTTATTTTATCAATTTATTATTTTATTCTCATTCTACGTGACTTTACCGAAAGAACCAAAGAAGAGGAAAACAGCCCTTTATCATATCGACTGCTCCTACAGTTTTTTTGACAATATATATTTGACCATACCTCACCATGCTGGTTTATTTTGTTGTATATACCTTACACTGAGTCTCCTGGTCAGTTGTGTGGTTATAATCCAAATGGTTGAATTTAGATTCAAGGCTGGGTCAAACTAAAGCGTGTAATTCTCATCGGAGCAGTTTTCGTTTATAATTTAGTTTTTTGAGTTTTTTTAGCCAAGCCGGGGGGTCAGGATTGGCCGAGGGACATCGCCGGCTTTTCCACCCAGGCTAGCAGAGAGCACAGGCTTAGATTTGAGTCTTAAAATATTCTCTGTTAGAATTTCAAGGGTGTAGAATTTAGGAAATAAACAATAACACCGAAGTTAATATTTGTTTTAAGCAAAGGCACGTGACTTTACCGAAAGAACCAAAGAGTATGGATTCCTGGAGTCACGAAAGCTTCAAATTAAGATCGTACAGTTACTACTTACACTGTAGGTTAACCATTAAGGGTAAAAATATTATTTTACATTAATAAAAGCCATGGTAAACAAAAAACTCTACTCTAAATGCATGATTGCACCAAAAGGGTATGTGGGTGTATCTTTTTTAGGGGGACTATTGTAAAATACAGGAAGTCTGGTGACCGCTCGACTTTGCTGTTGTTAGCTTACCGTTGGTATTTCCCCACCCCACACTTGCCTTAAATTGACTCAATAGTTCTAATTGCCACAAGTCCCACAGTGTCATTAACCCTGTTTTGTAAGAGTTTCTTGAAGGGCATTGAGACACCCGAAGTTTCCGAGCACTTGTGAGGGGCTGGCACCACTTCTCTCTGTGCTATTTGGCTCTTTATAACGAAGTACACTGCTATTTTATTCTCTTTGCCAAACAAATCAATCGGTAGACGAACACAACTGATGCACCATCCTAGGGCAGTTATTAAATGCTTTTTTTCAGACAGTGTTTGATTGAATGAAAAGGCAATAGAGAGGAGGGTGGAGTGCATTTAGAAAATGGAATTTAGTAATGAAAACTAACAGACCACAGTATATTTAAGGCAAGTACATTTCTAATCAGTGCGGGTTACCCATTATGACGCATGGATTAGAAACATGGACTCTGCCAAATATTGCCTCTTAAGGAATCAATAAAAAAGTCCTTTAGTTCAGATTTAAATAACATGATGGAGAGAACTGCAGCCTTCCACCTCTGCTTCATGATGATGCGGCTTAAACTATAAAGTATTGTGCTTGTATGCTATTTATGCACATTATATGTGGGTGATGTGTTGATGTGACATTTAACCCTAAAGGAACGAACGAATCTTTACAAACGGGACAGAAAAAGAAAAATGTTTCGGGCAATTTGGTGAAATGAAACACGTTTTAAACGAATCGTGATAATTCATTGATTTTCGATTTAAAGCTTTCGTGACTGCAATGATTCATCTTCTTTGGTTCTTTCGGTAAAGTCACGTAGAATGATAATAAAATAATAAATTGAAAGAACCAAAGAAGATGAATTCATTGATTCCCACGTGGTTTGGAGGTGGAGGTGGTGGGGCAGAGTTTTAATCGTTATAGGCCTTGTACAGGGGCCGGCAACCAAATTAACAAGAAGAGCCATTTTTGTTCGAATTCGGTACAAAACTCAATATTTCAAAAGCCGCAGTGCACGTGAATAAATACATTGCATACAGTAGCACCCCTCTTAATGACGGAACCGGTCGTTAAGTGATTTGGTTGTTAAGCGAGTAAGGAAAATACATGTTTAAGGCTTAATGTGTTCCGATAGCATAGAAAGTTACCCTTTTTCACCCAAAAAACGTACATTAATAGATAAAGATACTAACAACATTATAAACACATAATATTAAAGGATACATGGTTAATCAATGCATTAATTAATATGTACTATACCTACAACAGCCCGTCGTTAACATATTGGGCACTACGGAGGCCCGTCGTTCAGCGATTAGTCGTTAACAGGGGTGGCCCTTAAGAGGGGCTCGACTGTACATACATTATGTCACGAAGCAGTCCGTAAAGAGCCACATGCGGCTCCGGAGCCGCAGTTTTCCCACCCTTGTCCAAGTCGCAGGGGATATGGTCACGGCAATGTCTGCCAACCTGGCAACGCCAACCAACATGCCCCCCCCCCCCCGCACCCCTCCGTGTACGTCGAGACGTTTCTGTGCCGCCGATCGTCTCTTTTGCATCTTCCTTGGCCGGCGCCCAGGGGTTCCTGCGCAAGCTCGTGTCGTGCCTGTGGGCGGACGGGGACGAGCTGTACCGCGCGGGCGATGCGGCCACAGCGCAGCGGCAGTACGGGGAGGCGCTGGACGTGGTGGAGTACATGGAGAAGGAGGGCCTCCGCTGCCCCAACTCCGTCAACGAGTGTCTGCACGTCAACCGCGCCGCCTGCCACCTGCGCCACGTAAAAGACGCTGCTAAGACGAAGATCCCCTGTGTAGCCTCTTAAACCCTTTCCCGTTCCGATGACGTACGCGTACGTTGTGAGTTATTCTTCCGATTGTCTTTTGAACGGAGTTGCTGAGCACCGGGCCACAACCGAAAGAAAAACTAAAATTAATAACTCTTTCAGTACCGAGGCTACCACAAGTTCATGCGGGAGGGCGTGTGGCACAGTTTGCCACCAGCTATCACAGTGTGCGGTCGTGTCACTACAGTTCTCTGTGGTGAGGACAATGTCTTTAAAAACGACGGTGCTATGCCTCTCTAAATAAAATTAACACGAACCGCTTCCACGTTCTGAGATTCAGTGGTGAACGGGACCCACCCTTCAACTTGCAGATGTCTCGGAACGGGAAAGGGTAAACAGACTGTCGGGGCAAGCAAGTGCTGTTAGTGAGGAGCGCCGATGAAGGCCGCCACGGCACACAAGGGGGTGGGTGCCACGCCCGGCCGCCTTTGTCTCCCCAGTGGCGACATTTTTACACATCTCACTATGTACCCATTTGAGATTTAGTCGACCTAGGGGAGGCCCAGGACCGGCTCGGATTAGCATCACTGGTGTTGGCCGTGAGCGGGAATCAATCTCGGGTCACCGGGTTAGTAGTGCAGCGCGCTAACCACCACGCTACTGCTCAGAAACGCTTCACACACTACACACACTACACACACACACACTGCACCATGCACTCTATTGTTATCAGTATTCTAATATCTTGTGTTCTAATCCCCGGCAGTGTGGTAAGTTGAGCATCTCAGCCTGGTCACCAATGACAACCACAAAAAACATGAATCTTGTCACATGTGTGGGCTTGCAAATAATTTGGCCATCCCAAGCAGTCACCGCGTTTGTTGGCAGAGCATTTTGGGCTTTTTTCGACAATGTTTCGTTCGGCTCGATTGCGACGACTGAACACGCAAAAAGGCGAATCGATAAATAACCACGGTTGTGAGGACCGCAGCGAGGAGCCGGCTGTCACGCGGGGTTGACGTGAGCGAGAGATCCCTTGGGGGCTCCCCCGCGTCTTCGCAGTGCTTGCCTCATCTCGAGCGCGTTGCCGCCTGTACGCAGCATGGTTTTGCTGAGCGCAGACCCCCACAATGCCCACAACGCCAAGCGGTCAGCAATAAACAGCACGGAACAAAGTTGCATAATCTACGAGACCATTATTGTCATTATCAAGACCGATGAAAACACGAATAGGCTTTGATCTTTCCGGCAATAAAGCAGGAGGTGTTAAGATGTTCAAACAGCAAATAGATACCTGTCGCAAGGCATCGAGTCTGCATTAACCACACACCCTTGTGGTAAAACATGCACACAAACGTGCTTTCATAATTTATGCATTGTCCTTGAAATTTATTGGCCTACACGTTATGGCCTTGTCTCAAAGGCAAATAGCACACAAGCACGTGTGGTTGATGCAGACTTGATACCTTGTGGTAGCTGTCTTATTTGGTGTTTGAACGTCAACATCAGCTGGTTGTGTGGTGCTTTCTTCAAAATGCGTGACTTGCAGTGAGGTTGTAAGCTGAAAATGGGTGTCGGGAGTCAACTCGGATTTTATAATCAGAACATTTATTTATACTGGAGGAATAATAAGATCATTATCACTGGCAAACCAACCTAAGTGTGTTGTATGGAGTCACCAGTGCCTATCATTTTAATCAGGAATTTCGACCCTTGGCCGTGGATCATCGATGGCTATAAACACCACCCCAGACTTGTTTGAACAGTCTGGCGCGTTCACTTGGTTGCCGAATTTGCGGTCCGGCCCTTTCGTCCACTTTTGATGGATCTCTTTACCCCACCCCCCCACCGTCTTCCTCTCCCGGAAAACAGAACGACTTCGGCAAGGCCCTGGAGGACTGTGCCCTGGCGCTGAAGCTGAACGAGAAGAACGCGCATGCGTGCTACCACAGGGCGCGAGCGCTACGCGCTACGGGCAGTGTGCGCGAGGCCTACGACTCCGTGGTCATCTGCTCTAAGCTCATGCCGCAGGTGTGGGACGACTTCTGCGGGGGGGGTCCATACGATGGGCGGAGCGCTCTTCTGTTGAGTAGCCCCTTCAGCAGCCCCAGCGCTCATCGCAGTCACGGGAACCTAACGGTCCCAGGAGCTCGCTCGCCACGGTGGCCAGATGTTAACTCGCTCGCCTGGTATGCGGGAGGTCATGGGTTCGATCCTGACCCTAACTCCTGTATATTTGGAGTTTGCATGTCCTCTCTCCCCGTGGTCGCGTGGATTTTTCTCCAGGTCCTCCGGTTTTTTGCTCCACATTTAGTAACATGCGTTTAGAGTATTTGGCTGCTATAAATTTCCACAAGATAAGCCACTTCGTTGAGCTATCATTTGTGATAACCAGGTCGCTTCTGAAAAAGAGCTATGTATTTATATGAGCCAATTACTTGAAACGGGCGTTTCTAAATGTGAAGGGAAAAACCGGAGGACTCGGAGAAAAATCTTCGCAGTCACGGGGAAACCATGCCAACTCCAAATATACAGGCAACAGGATCGAGCCCACAACCTCCTGTATATAAGGCGAGCTAGGTAACATCTCATATGGAGAGACTGTAACCCTTGGACAGTTGCGTTAAGCTGGTTTTAATGAACAAGAAATTATCATAGTTTGTATTTGCTGTCGTGGGTTGGGACCTTCATGGCACATCGCTTGAAAAATGCGTTTAATCGCGCGTCTAACATTAACGTTCGAACCTGTGATCTCACTTATGCTGACACATTTTTATAAAAGGTGTGAGCTCCCTGAGTCATTCAGCCACCTCCCATGAAATATCACTGAAATTAAAAATATATATTTACTACCCTTTTGAACGTAATCTATCGTTCCCTTGTGTAAAGGGCATAAACTCAATTTATACAGTTTTTTTTTCTAATACCAGATGATGCGCGTCATCCGTTCTTTATGCCATCTCTTTGCACGTATGTGACACCACTTTGCCAATTGTTTCTGTCTTCTCTGGTTGGATGGAACTGGACAGATTTCGCAAATGTATGTTGAATTTTCTTCACATCGTACGTAGCCAAACGTTGGAGGTTGACAAAGCCAATGAGCACTTTGGAGTCAATTAAATGACCACTGATTTGTGGGAACTCATTATTGGGCATATTATTAAGATACTGGCCTTGCCATGGGAATATGGAATTTCTGCTGGCAGGCACCTGGCGACTATGAGACAAACACCACCTCAGTATTCATTTGAGCTCAGACACCTTGACCTTTGACTCAACATTCTGGGGTTGGGGTTAGGGGGCTGGTGTAAGTCGTTTTCCAGTTATGATGTGGAGACTTTGGTTGGCTGATGTGTACTGCCCCACTTTTATTCCCATTGCCAAGGATGACGTTTTAAACGTTGCGTTCACTTTTCACTTTCCCATCGCCTTGTCTAGCCACGCAGATGCCATAGGGAAGTGTTTTTTTTACAAATTTTCAGAGGAGGGGCCACTTTTGCCGATAAGATATCAGTCTGAGGGCCACCACACATTTGAAAACATTGGGGTTTGACAGCACGAAGATAGGGGGCGTATTCACATTTGTGTTTTGTCCGGGGCCTTGCACATCAGGGGGGGCGTACAAAAGGCCACCAGGGGCCACCAGGGGCCACCAGTGGCCCGTGACAGGCCTTGCAATGAAGGACATTGGCGTAGGGCCCTCTGTTCTTCACCGATATCGCTCGTTCTCCCCATGCTCAGAATCAGCAGGTCATCGCGCTGATGCAGGAGCTGGCACAGGCGTTGGGGCTGCGTCTGCGCAAGGCCTACATAAGCCAGGTAAAGACGGTTCTTTGTCAACGACGCGCCTCTCAAAAAATGCATCATCGTCATTTACCCGTTGTTACCTGCTCGTGGTAGAACGTGCTGACGTGTTTGACGCAGCGTCGCGTCAGGCGTGTTGGTTTCGCCACTGGGTGAGCGTCTTTTAAAAATAGGGAGTGCAGTGAGCCGCGTGCAATAAAAGAAAAAAATGTCATGTAATAGTATGACTACAAATGTGTGTTGTTTTAGTTGTATCGCTCGCATAACTGATATAGTGTGGTCTATAACATAATTCCTTCTCTGAGAATTTCCATCTCTGGCTCAGGACTGCCAAAGTTAGGCTTTGGGGCCAGAAGCACATGTCAACGCTGAAGCAGCACCACAGGCTGTTGGTAACGGGCATGCTGGAGGGTGTTTTTGTCCTATGTTGGGGCGTGAGTGAATCCACAACATTCACTCTTCAAACACACCGGTGGGCTGAAGAAGTAACTAATTGGCGTTTTGTTAACGTGACACATTTTTTACTGGTTGGCCGTGTCGGGTGGTGGAGGCTTGCGACAGGTTTATACTTTTGTGATCTCGCCCAAAAAAATTATTATGAACAACCCTGCGCTTGTATATTTGGAGTTTGAATGTTCTCCCCGTGGTCACGTGTATTTTTCTCCGGGCCCTCTGGTTTTTCCCTCCACTTATAGAATAAACATCACGCGTTTAGAGTATTTGGCTGCTATAAATGTCCATGTGATAAGCCATTTCTTTGAGCTGTCATTTGTGGCCAGGTCACATCTGAAAAAGAGCTGTATAGCTCAGTGGGCCTTAACTGGAAAAATACCAGGGGTTGAATGATTCCCTTCTGCCATCCCATATACAGTTATACGACACAACTTGACTTTCAATTATGTTTTCTGAAAAACAAAGCTTCAAACATTTATTGTACAGCCCGTCAGAAACATATATATAAAATATGTCAGCGTTTAAAATATAGCATGTTATTAACGTTGTTTTTGCGTCTTCCGAGCTGACGGCAGCGTGTTTAATTTGGGCGTTGCCGTCGACTTCTCACGTGCAGGCTTCTGGGGAGAGGCAGGCGATAAAGAACGACATTGATGACGTCATCTCAGGTGAGATGCCCCCCCGCTGCCCACCGTCACCGTGGGGCAAAGACCCCCCCCCCCCCCGCAGTGGCTGCAGCAGCACTCGCTTGACATCCTCCTGACCTTGTGTAGATTTCTACAGCAGCGCCTTACTCAAAGGCACTTTACAAACGAGGGTAACATTGTCCATAAGATGATAGTGGTTGAGACGAAGAGTTGGGCTTGCTGTCATTAAAGGTGGTGGGTGTAGTTATTGTGACAGGAGAACAGACTGGAGAGGAGGGGTTTGGGGTAGTGGTAGGGGTTGGGGTAGTGTTAGGGGTAGGAGTAGTGATAGGGGTTGTGATTGGGGTTGGGGTAGGAGTAGTGATAGGGGTTGTGATTGGGGTAGGGGTAGTGATAGGGGTTGTTATTGGGGTTGTGATTGGGGTTGTGATAGGGGCAGTGATAGGGGTTGTGATTGGGGTTGGGGTAGGGGTAGTTATAGGGGTTGTGATTGGGGTTGTGATATGGGTAGTGATAGGGGTTGGGGTAGTGATAGGGGTTGTGATAGGGGTAGGAGTAGTGATAGGGGTTGTGATTGGGGTAGGGGTAGTGATAGGGGTTGTGATTGGGGTTGGGGTAGGAGTAGTGGTAGGAGTAGTGGTAGGGGTAGTGATTGGGGTTGGGGTAGTGATAGGTGTAGGAGTAGTGATAGAGGTTGTGATACGGGTTGGGGTTGTGATAGGGGTTGGGGAAGTGATAGGGATAGGAGTAGTGATAGGGGTTGGGGTAGGCCTGGTCGTAGTTGGGGGACCGAGACAGGGAGTAGCAGTCGCAAGATGGGCTAGGGGAAAAGAGATGGGGGTTGTTTTAAGGGAGGAATGGAAGCAGGTCGGTCAAGAATGTTCTATGTGCCGTGGGAATTTGTTCCAGTGAAGGGGAGCATGGAGGGTAAGGGAACGCGAGAGCGAGACTGAGCGCAGGGCGAGGGAGGCACAGACTGGGAGAGCAGGGCAACTGTGGATGAATGATGCCGGGCAGGGGTGGCTACTCATGTGGCCTGTCATCCAACACTGGAGGTGACGAGGGTTGGTGGATAGCCACAGAAATGTTGTGAAACTTCCTTCCCGCAAGTGTCGAGGTTCCAGCTGCCATACCTCGGCCTGCCAGGTGAAGGCAGTACAGCAGGTGGACTAATCTCCAACTGTTTTCACATCTGTACAGGGATAGAGTGTTTGCCCCCCCCCCCCCCCTCCTTGCATCTGTGGGTTTCCTCCGGGTGCTCCGGTTTTCTCCCGCTCGGATAAACATTCATGAATTGGCTGAAAACATCTTAAAATGTAAAAAAATGCGGGACCATCCTGGAAAAGAGTCCTTGACCTTAGTGTGGAATGTTCGGGTAAAATAAATAATAGTAATTATTATAAATCATTACAACTGCAGCAGAGCTGCAGTGAAGCGAGCATGTACAGGGGATCCCCGCCATGCGTAGGGGTTAGGGACTGGAAAGTTGCGACTTATAACGAAACGATGTATAATGGAGACTTTTCTCCCATAGGAAACACAACTCCATGTTCATGGAGGGGGATGGGACCGTGAGAGCATAAACGTTGCCTATGCGACGCAAAGCGGGGCAATTTCTCTCATTATAAACAATGGAATAAGGTCGGGATAGGGACCGCAACTTTGGGAACTGTTGAGTTTCATACCTAGCAACCAAAATACGTACATGTACAGAAAAAACAGGTACTGTATTTGTACTGTAAATGTACAGTACCTGTACTATACCGTACAACACACAATGTACATATTTTTATAACCAATTCTGAGTTCAAGAACGTTTAAACAGCATTTACACTTAATTGAAAACCATTTTTATGAGCATTTTAAAGCAGCCCTGTTCACTTTAAAACGTTTTCCTGTTTTGATTGAAAACGTACCTGCGACGTTTTGAAACAATGACTCGAACAGAAAACCATTATTTGTGTAAAGTAAAAAAAAACACAATCTTAAACGGCATTACTCTTTGGTCCTTTCGGTAAAGTCACGTAGAAAATAAAATAATAATAGAATACGACGTTTCGGTTGCAACACAAGCAACCATCATCGGGTAAGACACGGGAACAGCATAGACACTCGCTCGGTATGTCTTTGTGTGTGTGTCTCTCTCTCTGCACGTGTGTCTACCTATGCTGTTCCTGTGTCCGTGTTTTAAAATGCATTCTTACCAGATGATGGTTGCTTGTGTTGCAACCGAAACGTCGTATTCCATTACTATTTGATTTTATTTTCTACGTGACTTTACCGAAAGACCCAAAGAGTAATTCCTGCAGTCACGAAAGCTTCGAATCTAGTTTTAAACACCATTTCAAAAATATTTAACCTTAACCTATAATTCTTATGACCTTACCTTGAGGAGTGGATGAGTTTAAGGGTTGCGACGATATTTTGCGACAAAGTCCGCGCCGATTACAACGAGCGCTCAGTACGCACGCGAGAGAGGACACGATGGGACGGAGAAGCTGGCGGCGCATGTGCGAGTTGTACAGTACCTTTACACCCGCCCCTCCCCCAGTTCAGCTGAGCCGAGTCGAAAATGATAACAAAAAAACGATAATCATCACTGGTGTTGGCCGTGAGCGGGAATCTACGTCAGGTCGCCTGCTTCGTAGAGCAGCGTAGCTTCTAACCGCTACGCAACCCGTGCACAATGTTTTCGACTCGGCTCAGCTGAGTCAAAAACGACGTGTGTGTGTATATATATGCGGGGAAATTTTACGTCGCGTTCCTCTAAGGAGTCGCCAACGTGAGTGCGAAACGACGCATGTCGAGACGACGTATATCGGGGACCCCCTGTACGCGCGTATGTATTTTGAACTTCTTTCGCACTGTACGTAGCCAACTGAGCCAACCTGAGGTGTTCCTAGTCCATGCACTGTGTGTGGTTAGACTCAGGATCTGGATGTAATCATCGTTATCAGCCAAGATCAGTGTACTGCTGGTTGAAGAATTTGCCCTAGTCTACTAATTGAAAGAGACGTACAGTTGCAAATCCTGAATAGTGTTGTAACGGATTCGAACCTTGCCTCTCGGTGGTGTTGGCTCATTGCTCCGACTCCTGAGCCACCCGGCCACTGCAACTGGTCGTACTTTTAACATACGACCAGTTGCTGTGGTGAGATGTTAATTACCTCGCCTGGTTTTAATTTTCGATTTAAAGCTTTCGTGACTGCAAGGATTCATCTTCTTTGGTTCTTTCGGTAAAGTCACATAGAATGAGAATAAAATAATAAATAAATAAAATTGGATACCACAATAAAATTCTCACGACGTTTCGGCCACAACACAAGTGGCCTTCATCAGGTGAAGGGATGACAGTCTCGTCCCTTCACCTGATGAAGGCCACTTGTCTTGTGGCCGAAACGTCGTGATAATTTCATTGTGTTATTTTATTTTATTAATTTATTATTTTATTCTCATTCTACGTGACTTTACCGAAAGAACCAAAGAAGATACCTCGCCTGGTGTGCAGGATCGTGGGTTCGATCCCAACCCTGATGCCTGTTGTATATTTGGAGTTTGCATGCTCTCCCCGTGGTTGTGTGGATTATTTTCTGGGTCCTCCGACTTTTCCCTCCACATATAGAATCCACATCACGCGTTCAGAGTATTTGGCTGCTATACATTTCCATGTGATAAACCACTTCATTGAGCTTTCCTTTGTGATGGCCAGGTCGCTTCTCAAAAAGAGTTGGATAGCTTAGTGAGCCTTACCTAAATTTTGATTTAAAGCTTTCGTGACTGCAGTGATTCATATTCTTGGTTCTTTCGGTAAAGTCACGTTGAAGGGAAACAATAAAATAATAAAATATATATAAAACAATAAAATTCTCACGACGTTTCGACTGCAACACAAGCAGTCATCATCAGGTGTGAAAACCAACGAACATGTTCCTGCCGTTGGTTTTCACACCTGATGATGACTGCTTGTGTTGCAGTCGAAACGTCGTGATTATTTTATTGTTTTATATATATTTTATTGTTTCCCTTCAACGTGACTTTACCGAAAGAACCAATAATATGAGCCTTACCTAATCAAAGAAAAATAGTTTTATAGTTTTCGGTGTTTTCCCCATGCAACGTCTGAGGCCAGAACCTGCGTTTCCAATGTGCTTGGAAACATTTAACCATTCTTAATGAGCACACGTGTACAAAAATATATATAATTTTAATAATAATAATGTATACATGTATGTTGAACTTCTTTCGAGCCGCACGTAGCCAACAGTTTAGGGCACCTAATATTTATCTATTTATCCTTAGATATTTCTTTATAAGGTGCCCTAAAGAATGGATCTCGGAGTGCCATGCAAATAAAGGAGAAGTGACGGGTAACCAGATAGCTAGAGACTCATGAGACTAGCAGAGAGAAGGAGAGAGAGAGAAGGGCTTTTACAATAGGTGATGGGGTCTTTAGGCAGGACTTTGTAATGATAAATAATCATCGCTTGTCTCCTGTGCGCTTGGTGACCGCCCCCCTGCAGAAGATGAAAATGTGAAGCCCGCCCCGGAAACGCGAAACGAAACCCCGGTGAGCAAAGCCACCCTGCCGAGCCAGCAGTGCAATGGAAAAACCAACGCCAAACCGATCGGCGGCGGTGGTGGCAGCGGCGGTGGTGGCAGCGGCGGTGGTGGCAGCGGCGGTAGCGGAGTTACCGGCGGCAGCAGTGGTGGGGGGGGCAGCAAGGCAGCCACCGCCCCCGCCAAAACCAAGGGCCACAAGGGAGGCAGCGGAGGCAGGGGGTTGCCGGGCGGCTCGGTGCCGCCGCCGCCGCCGTCACCACTCCCGCCGCAGCAAGCCGGGCCGGGGCTCGCGGTCGTCACGCCTGCACAGACGCGGCTCGCCAGCAAGGTGGGCCCCACGCGCAATTTCGCCACCGCAGCAGCCGCCGCCACCACCAGCGCCGCCGCCACTGCCAGCGCCACCGCCAGCGGCGTGCGCGTCAGGGAGGCTCCCAAGCCGGTATCGGTGCTTCCCACTGCGGGGAAGAGCGGCGCTCCTGCCAAACTCGAACCCGTGCCGTTGAGGCCCGGCGATGCCGTGGAGAAGCCACCCAATGCGGCCGTGCCGGTCAAGGAGACCCCGCCGGGCCTGGTGAACGGCTATGGGGGCGGGGGTGGTGTGGGGGTCGGGGTCGGGGCCAATAAGCTGCTTCCTCTCCCTGTGGCTGAGAGCGCGACCTTCAACACCGCGGAGGATGAGATAATCGGAGAAGACTTGGACGAGCTGCTGGACATGGTTTCTGAGGAGTTCTCTATGCAGGTAACGGGGTCCTCCTTTCTGCAACCCACGAAACGATGGCTTCGATCTTGCAGTCGCCCGCCTATGCGGCAGTCGTATGGCTTAAACTCGGCAAGCATTATTTGGGGGCTTTAAAACGCAATTTGACCGATTGTTTTGTGTGTGCTGCAGGGCCTACAGTCGCATTCCATGCAGTTTCCTCCGGGACTTCAGAACTCCATGCCCACGCCTCCTCAGGGTCTGTCGATGCCTCATGAAATGCAGCTTCATCAAGGCCTACAGATTTCCCAGGAACTTCAACAAGGCCTGCACATGGCCCACGGCATGCACGTGCCCCTTCACACGGGACTGCATTTTGCGCTCCAGCCGGGCCTGACTCTGCCCCACGGTCTTCAAATGCCCCCGACCATGTTCTCGCATTCCGGAATGGCACATGGTGGCGGGCCCATGCTGCACCAGCATCACCAGCAGTTTCACCTTCAGCAGCAGCAGCAGCACTTGCAGCTTCACCAGCAGCTTCACCAGCAGCAGCACCAGCAGCAGCACCAGCAGATGCCCCCCGGATTCGCCGAGCGAGTGGCCACCTCCTCCTCCTGCAGGGGCCTCGACTCTTTGGACGACGTGTCCACCGCCCTGCCTGTGCTGAGGGCCACCGGGGCCTTCAGCAGCGGCCCCATCGCCTACGGTGAGAGCCAGCGGCGTTGAGGGCCCCGCATTGAGCACTTCCAGATGTGTAGCGATTTATTTATTAATTCATATTTCTACTCTTACTCTTTGGGTCTTTCGGTAAAGTCCCGTAGATAGAAAAATAATTTTAAAAATCACGACGTTTTGATCGCAACACAAGCAATCGTCTTCAGGTGAAAAAATACAGCAGGCAAACTGCTGAGGCTTTTATTTTGCTGGTGAGATGAATACAATTCCATTTGCCAAGAGCAGTGCATCGCCGCCTCCCATTTTAGAGAAACGGCCTGTGGAAGATGATGTCGCAGAACTACTCCCGAGCTCCCTTCAGTTGCCTCTTGTCTACCCGAGGTGGTGCGGCATCTCTCTCGCACTGCCCGCTGTGTACAGGTGGTCTTTGGATGGCAGCCGGGAGTTGTCAAAAGCTGAAAATAGGCCAAATTTAGTGAAAACCAAATTCAGCATCATGGCCGATATAGCCCAAGCATTGGTAACTGCTGAGACATGAACTCATTATCCTTGAGAACCTGGATTAACCACAGGCGGTTTAGCTGGATTCGAACCCAGAATGTCAGCGTCACCGGCGTGTTGCTCTCGCACACAGCTGCCTGACCCAGCCGGCTCCCGCGAGAAGTTGTAGAGCTCTGGGGCTAACAAAGTGATCTCGATTGTTTATTGCCGCCTCCTGCTAATTACACGAGCGTGGAACGCCAGTCGACCAGTAGACTTGGAAGACACGCGCGTAAGCTGAGTTACAAAGCAAGAGGTTCATTTGTTTAATTCTCGGTGAGTTTTTTTAGAACGAGTTATTATACAGAGCTGTGATATTCCAGCCTGTTTCTCCTCGCCCAATCTCTACAACAAATCCGACAGTACATATAATATGATGCCATTCCACTTTGACCTGTGAGCTAGATACTGATGATCTGTAATCTGTAGTGACGGCCATCATTTCTGTTTGCAGATGGAGGTGCTGGCCGGCTCTATCCTGAAGGATGGCCCGGTCACATCCTGCAGGAAGGTAAATAAACTAACTAAACTATTAACTATTTATATTTTTACCAGCTAAGGCCCACTGAACTGTATATCTCTTTTTCAGAAGCGACCTGGCCACAATTGATATGTTATCAAAGTGGCTTATCACCTGGGAAATTTATAGCAACCCAAATACTCCAAACACACGTCGATTATAAATGTGGAGAGAAAAACCGGATGACCCAGAGATAAATCCACGTGACATGCAAACTCAAAATATACAGTTGTTAGGGTCGGGATCGTTGAGTTCACCCGTCAGGTTCCTTCGGCGTTGAGTTCACCCGTCAACACTGTGCTACCACCGCAGACGGCGCCATATGTTGCCCAGCTAGATGATCCCGGTGGTGCATCGGACACCGATAGATGATCAACATCAAGTAAAAGTGTGAAGTGTGTTTAGGAAAAGTAAAACGGCTATACACTGCGCATACAAACGAACTCCGCAGAACCAGTGCAGTGTCGCTGGATTGCTATTCGAGCCCCTTAATGGATTGAACATCACTCGGGGCCTTGCGAGCAATGTGTGACTTTCCGCGGATGTACGTACGTATGTATGTTATTGAACTTCCTTTGCATCGTATGTAGCCAACCGTGCTAATCGGTGGAGTGGGGGAGGGAGAACAAACTAAATACATAAAGCAGATGAACCGCACATGCCTGCAAGCAGCACTCAAGAGGCTTCTAGGAGCACATGTCCCTGTAGTTTTGCTGCCCCTGCTGCTGCCGATTTCTTAAAGCAACTGTCGGATACATTTTGCCGTGCCTGGGAAGTGTGCCTATCCATCCCAACTGCAGTTCACTTGTATTCACGAACGGGACAAAACCCCTTTATAACCAAGCACGATGAAACTTATCACAGCTTACCAAACACCAGCGCCCATATCTGTACAGATTTTTTTAGCAACAAATTTGTTTGGGAAAAAAAGTTTTTCAGCTCGTTGCTTATCAGTACGGATGTACTTGTGTGTTTGAGTGCATGAGCGGGTGTGAGCGTGTGTGTGGAACGCGCGTGTGCGCGTTTGTTTCTGTGCACATTTCTTTGCATAAGTCTTAATTTTCTCACAAATGAAAGCGTCCTTAATTGGCTGGCGGTACAGTCACAACATGGGGTGCAGGGGTGAATGTTTGTATTGGCAACAGTAGTTGCTTTTTAAGTTTTATTTAGAAGTTGACATCTGCCAGATAAGTGTTGCTCAGACGTTGTAATGCTTCTATTTATTTTAGAGCGGTCAGTAGATGTAGTGTTTCTCTATTAATGCGATTTTTTGTCATGTCTAATGACAGAGTTGATGAATGTGGTGGCGAAAATGAACTCTGCCGATATTGTGGTAAGTTTTTCTGTTTGCGCGGAATGTATGAGAACACGTTTCCAACGGGGATGTGTGGATATTAATGTGGCACTTATTTAAAAACCCTGCGAAATATCATAGGGCACTTTCATTGTGGGGAGGCTTCAGAAAACATTTTTAATTCGATACATATGGCGCTCTGGCCTTGCCGAATTATCCAATATTCCGGATTGTGTACAGTGGTACTCCGCAGTGCCTCCTGCCACAATAATTTTTTTTTTCCAAATTTGTTTTACAAACTCTTCACACGCCATACGCATCGACACGCACCCTGCATCAATTCTATCCCAAACTTTGTATTTGTCTCGCGGACTAAGGGATTTATTCTTCAGTCCCTTTCTATTACTTCTTGATGTAGGTGTAGACGACATTTCTGAGAGGGTTGGCTTACACAGAGTGCACAAACAAGATAAAGTCCAAAGCGACACCGTCTGCACTAACGCTCACCACGCTCACCACGCTCACCACACTCACCACGTTCACCACGCTCACCACGCTCACCACGCTCACCACGTTCACCACGCTCACCACGCTCACCGCCACCAGACCGAGTCGTCGTTTTTGTCGTGGCGTGTGGCGCCACTCCATGTGTATGCCGAAATTGGACCATCCGGTACGACAATTTGGCTAATTGCGAATGACTAATATGGCGAAAGCGAAGCCGTACCGAATTATCCACAATTACGAATTATCAAATACCGAAATAACGAGGTTTTACTGTGTATATATTTAAAAAAATGAGTTAAGAGTGCTCATCTCGGACGTTCGCAGTGATCCGTGCTGCCTCTCTGTGTGCTCTGGCTGGCGTGGAGCAGGCCGGTCTTGCGAGGCCCGGCTGGGCCGGCGTGGGCATGGTCACCAACCCCCTGGCGGAGACGCACGACCTGAGGCAGGCGTGCGCTCAGTGCTTCCCCTTAGGTGCGGAACCGCGGGGAGCACGGCGCTCACGCCGCTTGTTGTCGTGCACCACGGCTGGCGGTGTTTACACGAGCCTCTGCACACCCTGCGCGGCTCACTCGCGCACACACCGAACTGACAGCGCACGTAGGCACACACCTCAGCTCTCGTACACCTCATGGCTCTCTCTCACACACACACACACCTCACAGCTCACACAGCGCGCGCACACACACATCGGCGGTTTTGCATTACAAAGTAGGAGAAATAAGACGACTTTTTAACATCCAAAATATTACTTTGTTATTTGTGTAAGTTGAGTGAAAGCTTTATTCGACAATAACGTATTTAAAATAATCTACCAAAATAATGATTCGATTGCAGCTGACTCGCTGGTTTTTGGAATAAATAATGTGGATAGTCAGATTGTCATACAGCCTTGATATTGTGCGTGCAGTCAGAGCCGGCACAGCGTGAAGTGTTTATTTTCCCGTGATGCAGGGAATGCTCGAGTGCCTTTAACATGAGCGTGTACCGACAGTGAGGCTCAACCAGCCCTGCTGTTAGCGCGTAGTGACACCATTGTGCGTCTGCGATAGACTGCCACCAAGTGCGCCTTGTACGTACTTTGAACTTCTTTCGCACCGTATGTAGCCAACCGCGCTAATCGGAGGTGTGCTGTCGGCACTTGCCCCAGAATCCTATGCAAGGGGATCCTTTGTCTTTGCACGTGCGCGCGCACGTGTAGGGAGTGATCGGTGCGACGAGGCGATACGCACACTCCTTGTGTAGAGACAGTATTGCGCGAGTGTGTTCCACCGTGTTCGTGTCTAACGCGTTCGTGCCACACGGTTGGTGTTTGTTCCTCGTTGCAGCTGCGGGTTCCGAAATCCACGATTACAAGTTTTTTCCGGACCTGGAACACAAGTGTAAAAAGGACTTGTTGATAGGGCGGCTTCGGAACTCAGAAGATCCCCGCTTCAAAATAATAAGGCCCCGACCGCAGATGATAAACTATATCGGCTCATACTACATATGCAAAGGTACTGTGCCACACGTTCATGCTTACAATGTGGTTAAAGGAACGCGTGACCCCAAAATCAGGAGCTCTCTTCTCGTTGATCCCCACAAGGCTGCGAGTCTTGGCGCGTCCGACGATGAGCTTAGGCTGCATTGCTATGGTGCCCTTGCAAGCCTCTCTCATTAGGCTTCAAGGTCGGGTCAGACAGCCCTGGACACCCAGCCTAGTCACCAGACGTGTGACGACGCATCGATTCGTCAATTCACGCCTCTTCCTAATCGTGACACATGCATCACATGCTTCGTGTAAGAATAACTCGCGATTTATACAAATGATACCGCGATTTGAACTCGCAGCCTTCTGATTACGCGCCGCTCACTTTACCCCCCCCCTCCCCCTTCGAGCCACCTGGCCGGTTGCTTGTAATGAACGATGCAGAAGGTGGTGCAGTAGACGGCGCACATTGCGCACATGTGCGGACCGGGTTGTCGCGCCCAAGGCGCGCTGCCGTAACCAACTGCCGACCGCTGACCCACGCGCTGTTGCCGCAGACATCACGGAGGGCAAGGCGTGCCGCTTCCCCGGCCACTGCCGGTTCGCGTACAGCCAGGAGGAGATCGATGTGTGGACGCAGGAGAGGACGGGGCTGATGCAGCGCGCGCTGCTGTTCGCACCCGTGTGCGGTACCGGCGGCTGGAGGGTCCGGTTGACGCTACAGGAGCTGATAGAGGAGCACCATGGAATATTTCTCTTCCTATGCGAGGTATCGCACGCGCACGCACGTTAGCACGCGCGCGCAGGCCCGCAGTCATTCATCATTCCTGCATGTCAGGCTTTTAAACGATTCCCATCCCAACCTCGCCTTCCGCGAGTCGATTCATTGTCACCAATGTCGTCGGCAGCCAAGCCACTGCTGGGCGAAGGTGTCCCACAGGCCATCGACATCTCTAGCGGTTCTGACTAAATTAAACTTTAAACTATCTTAATTTTACCAGGTAAGGCCCACTGAGCTATTTAGCTCTTTTTCAGAAGCGACCTGACCACAAATGATAGCTCAATGATGTGGCTTATTGTGTGGAAATTTATAGCAGCCAAATACTCAAATACTCTAAACGCACGTTGATTCTAAATGTGAAGGGGAAAACTGGATGGCCTCGAGAAAAATCCACGCGACCATGGGGGGAGAGAGACACGCCAACTTCAAATATACAGCAGGCGTCAGGGTCAAGATTGAACCCACGACCTCATGTATATCAGCAGAGGTAGTTAACATCTCGCCCCCGTGGATGCCACAATGGCGAGATGTGATGTAACGGTCCACGCAGCACCTGCACACGAGATCGTTGCTCCATCTCTGGGACGGATGGCCTTGCCAGCCTATTCTATTTTTTGTCCGTTTAAGAAATTTTGCTTTAATCTCTTGTCATTGTGTATACTTTTATTCATTCATAACTTTTTTAATTGTATATAGCATCATTCGTGCTGATTTCATCGCACGAGTCAACCTGTTCTGTTGAACTTACGATTGAGACCATTGCTGTGGGTTTTTGCTGAGCAGTCCCGATCAAGGTGGTATTGCAGGGAAGTTAAACTTTTGTCTGCCTTTCTGCAGCGCCGGCAAAGTGTTATAATTATTATTAAGAGAATAATGAGAAATTAATGATTTGATCAATGCTGACAAAGGTTTTTTTTCTCTCATGTTCAGGAATGTTTTGACAATAAACCCCGGATGTTGAGTAAACAAAATAAAGAAAACCCCAAGTATTGCACCAACCAGAGCGCCAAACACATCTTCGAGGAAACCAAGTACGTGTCCTCCTGCGTGCATATGCGCGGGTGTGCGCGCGTGTGTTGGAGTGTCGTCATCTGCCAGTCATCTCAGTCGGTCAACCCATGGCACCTGAGTCTGTCCCGTGACCTCCTGTCAGCGAGCCTTCGAAACTTCACGTGGCTGGCCTGCCACAGGCGCCGTAGTGACATCACCGCCACTTAGTGGCAAATGGCAGCTGTTGTTATTGTTAGTGTAGTGGGGAGCAGTGACGCAGTGGGGAAACGGCAGTTCACCCAATGCACAGTGATCCCAGCAATTCCCCAGTCTTGCGCATCAGTGCGAAGTGGTATTTGGACTTGCCCTGAGTCTCCCGCAGGACAGCTGGGCAAGGACCTGACCACACTGTACCCCTCATGCCTGCTTTAATAGGTGCTCACGCATACACGCATCTTCACTCTCAATGCCAAAACATAATTTCGCTCACTCTCGTAGAGAGAGAACGGCTTGAGAGAGGCGCGTGGAGGAACCACAGGCAAGCGGGAAGGCAGCCACGCGCCGAGCCGGCGTGAATATTTGCCCAAGCTTTGCGTCCCTCTCGATATTCAGGGGTTATTTGCCACTGAATTGAGTGTGTTTCCACGTGGAAGCAAAACCGGAGCGCCCGGAGGAAACCCACACATGTGAGGTAGAAACACTATCCCATACAGACGGAAGAAGAGGAGTCCACATGTTTTCTGCACTGCCTTCCGGCAAGCCAGGAAATGGCAAGGCCAACTTGTGATGGAATTTAACTTAATTTTCGGTGGTTGTCGTTGACTCCTCATTCAATTCACAGTTTTAACTTCGAGCGGGCTTTGCCGATGCCAATCCGAGAAGTTGATCGACGCGCTCGTTCCTTCGCGTTGTGTCCCCCCCCCCCACCACGCCCCCGCTCTCCCCCCCCTGCCCCCCCCCCACCCGCTCTCCGCCGCCCCCCTATGTGCGCTGCAGGTGCCTGGTGCACGTGTTGCGCGGCACCAGCGTCCACTACTCGAAGATCCGCCCGCTCAACGAGCTGAGCCAGTTCGACATTTGCCGGCACGAGATCCGCTATGGCTGCCTGCGCGAAGACAAGTGCAACTTCGCTCACAGCTTCGTGGAGCTCAAGGTCTGGGTGATGCAGCAGCAGTCAGGTACCACACCCACCACGCCTTGCGTCGCTCCCTGGGTCAGATGCACCACCTCACGCTGTCTGGCGACACGACCTGCGAGCGTGCCTCGGTCTGCCACACGCTCGTAGTGTGTGTGTGTGTGTCGGTGAACTCCAAATTCAATGAAACTGTGTCCCTCCCTTTTCCCTCTAACCTCTGCCCTCTTACCCAACTGCCTTGCTGCCTCACCCTTCATCCTCACCCTGTCCTCCACGTGCCAGTCCTGCCTTCGTCGAGGTGTCAATCATCACCAAGGGTCGCTTATCACCGGAGGGACGCGCGGTATTTCCGCGAGTACGTGTAGCCGCGGGCACGCATGATCGTGCCCTTGTGTGCGTGCGTGCGCCACCGCAGGAATTACCCACGAGGAGATTGAGATGGACTCTGCCAAGATCGTGGCTCAGAGCAGCGGGGCGCTCGCAGCTCCCACACACAAGGTTCGTGTCTCTCGGCTGTCCCCCCCACATGCACGGAGCAGGCGGCCCAAGCAGTGCCGCCACGACCTCGTCGCACTGCTCGCAATCTCCCACAATACCACGAGGCTTTATGAAGCATATTCGCCGTCAGTTTATACGTCAAAAGAGCTATGAAGTGATTTTTTTTCACAGATGTCAAGTAGGGGCGGGTCTGAACGTTACAACAAAGTATAGGAAAGGTTAAACAAATAACTTCAGAATATATACAAACTAAACTAAACTATTTTTTTATCAGGTAATGTCCACTGAGCTATTTGAGACCTGGCTATACAACATACGAGTTCTACATTATCAGTTGTACCAGTATAACTCAATTTTGTTTTTTATAAAGCTTCTCAATATAACCATTCTCAGGATGTCATTTAGGTATGGGGAGGGGAGATGAGTGGGGAGCGGTGGTTTAGTGGTTCGCGCGCTGCGCTATACAAACCCAGCGGCCTGGATTTGATTCCCGCTCACGGTCAACACCGGTGGTCGACGCAGCCTCAAATGAGTACCCAGTGCAGTATGTAAACATCGCCACTGGGGAGACAAAGGCGGCCGGGCGTGGTGATTACCATCCACCTCCTTGTGTGCCGTTGCCGGCCTATATAGGCGCTACTCGCTAGCAGCACTTGCCCCAACAGTCTGCTCAAAACTACATGGTGATCTTTGGCCTTTTAAAGAGATGAGTGACACGATGAGCGAGTCGGTGGGTTCACCGTAGAGAGGGGGGGAGAGAGGGCTGCAGTGGAGTGCAGGCAGAAACGGAAGGGGTTAGATCGTAGCGGAGGAGACACGGGAGGTCTGGGGCCAGGATATGAAAAGGTGAATGTAATTACAAGAGCGATGAAAAACAAACGAATAGGCCTTCACCTTTACGGCAAGAAACATCAAACAGACACCTATCACAAGGCATCAAGGCTGCATTGACCACACCTGCTTGTGGTAAAACCCACAAACAAATATGCTTTGATGATGTATGCATATTGGGCTACACCAGAGATGGTATCCTTTATGGTCGGCCTTATCTCGCCGGTGTTAGACCAGAGAACAACGGAAAGAGGTGAACAGCACAGAGACGTGCGAGGTAGTTCCAGACGGAGGAAATGGGGAGTAAAGGAGTGAGAAGGTCCTCCGATGGAAACACGAAACGCCAACCGCGCTAATCGGAAGTGCGGGGGAAGGACAACAAACTACACACAAAAAGCAGTTCTAGAGAAATTAGTTTTCAACCTAGATGATGAATTAAAAGTGCATAGCTCCCAGTGGCTTGCTAATATCGGAAGGGAGAGCGTTCTAGATGGCCGTAGAAGCGCACCTTGTTCGATGGCTGAGCCAAAAGCCGCTGCTGCTGCGAGGATGACCGGAGTTTGCGTGATGATGGTTTACGATGGTTTATGCTCCTTGCTCCTGATTTGGACGAGCGCCGATGGTACACCCACGTGAGGTGCTGCAATGACGCTTGGGTTGGCCCTGCCTCCTCCCTCTCTCTCTCCGCAGATATCCAAGGTGGAGGCGAAGCGCTCTCAGATGCGCTTCCGCATGAAGTTTGTGTGCAGTCAGTGCTGGAGAAACGGGCAGGTGACCGAGCCTGAAGCTACGCTTAAGTACTGCAACTCCAAGGCTAGACACACGTATGTATGCGCACACAAAGATCCCCCATATAGCCTCAACAGACTGTTGTGGCAAGTGCTGTTAGCGTGCGCCTATGAAGGCCGGCACGCCACACGTAGGGGTGGGTGGCCAGCACCATGCCCGGCCGTCTTTGTCTCCCCATGATCGGTTCAGATAATCGTCAGTGGTGTTGGCCGTGAGCGGGAATCGAACTCAGGTCGCCGAGTTCGTAGCGCAGCGCGCTAACCACTGCACTACTACTCCCAACATGAGCACACACACATCGCGATATAGCCACGGTGGCGAGATGTTAACCCTTTCCTGTTCTGAGACATCTGCAATTTGCAGGGTGGGTCCCGGCCACTGTTGAATCTTGGAACGTGCAAGCGGCTCAGCGTTAATTTTATTTAGAGATGCATGGGTTCCGTTGTTTTTAAAGACATTGTACTCACCGCAGAGAACAGTAGTGACACGACCACGCTCTATGATAGCTGGCGCCAAACTGTGCCACACGCCCTCCCGCATGGCCTTGTAGGTGCTCGCTAACAGCACTCGCCCCAACAGCCTGGTAAAGGCTATACGGGGGATCCTTACTTTTGTGTTGCACCTAGCCGGGAACAGACACTATGGTAATGTTACTGTCACTTGGTGATGAATGGCGGTTGTTGTGTGTGAGCATTCACAGTTATATAGGTGCACCTATGCTTATGTCCGTGTGTGTGCGCTTGTTCTCCTGCAGCTGGTCCAAAGAGCGCCGGGTTCTTCTGGTCATGTCACCGGAGCGCAAGAAATGGACACAAATCCGCCCCTTCCCAACTCCCAAAAATGTGCCCCTGCAGTTTGATGTGAGTACAGCGTTGGCCTTAGCTGAGTGGTCTCATCAATCCGTGCCGTCCTTGGCTATTGGGGAAACCGCGCTTTATCTTCAATTAACTACCTCACCTGGTATACTAAAGGTCGTGGGTTCGATCCTAACCCTGACGCCTGCAGTATATTTGGAGTTTGCATGTCTCTCCCCATGGTTGCGTGGAATTTTTCTTCGGGTCCTCCGGTTTTTCTCTCCATATTTAGAAAAAGGTATTTCGAGTATTTGGCTGCTATAAATTTCCACACGATAAAACACTTTGAGCGATCATTTGTGGCCAGGTCTCCTCTGAAAAAGAGCTTTATAGCTCAGTGGGACTTATCTGGCAAAATAATAAATAGTTTAATTTTAATCTGACTGGCTGAGTGGTACTTTGGTTAGAGTACTCAACTCGTGATTGGACGGTCGTGAGTTTAAACCCTTGTTGAGAGGTCGACTTAGCTCATAATTCCCTCTGAGTACCAAATTTAGAACAGAAAAAAACTTTTTAGTTAGCTCTTTGAGAACTATATCCTCACATTTCCACTGAGAAGAATTCACAATTAGGTTGAAACCATCAACACAATTATAGTCTGGCATTGACTTTTTGACCGCTTATACTAGGGGCCGGTAACCAAAATAACAAGAAGGGCCATTTTTTTAGAATTCGACTTGTTATGCAATGCGAACACGAGACGGTGGGTCCTGAATAAATAAATGTCACGAAGCAGTTACTTAACGAGCCGCATGCGACTCCGGGGTCCGCAAGTTGCCGACCCCTGGCTTATGCAGATATGCTGTTGAAAACGTCCACTTGTGTGGTGGTAATTCATTAAGTAGAGACCGACTCCGCCTTGTGAACGTGGCATTTACACTGCCGGCTCATGGTGTCATGCAGACATGAGTGCTGCCACCATTGCTCGCTTCAGCCGGGAGACCCTTGGCTCTACAAGCGCTTTATCAGAAAATATTAAGGCATTTCTAACATTGAGTGTTCGTGCCCATGAGAGTATCGGGCGGAAGCGTAGCGGTTAGCACCCTGCGCTACAAACCCGGCGACTGGAGTTTGATTCCCACTCACGGCCAACACCAGTCCTGGCCCTCCCCTAGGTCCACTCGGCCTAAAATGACTACTTGGTGCAGTGTGTAAAAATTGCCACTGGGGAGACAAAGGTGGCCTGGCGTGGTGCTGGCCACCCACCCCCTCGTGTGCCGTGCCGGCCTTCACAGGTGCTCGATTGACATCACTTGCCCCAAAAAGTCTGTTAAGGCTACGGGGGGGATATTTGTCTTTGTTTGAGCAATGGGCGTGCACATTCGCAATGTGTGTCTGGGAACTGCCATCAGCTCACGGGAAGCCGCCCTGGCATAGTGAAGCTGACCTCGCGTAGCGAAGCTGCTCTCACGTAGCGGAGTTGCCCTTGTGTATTGAAGCATGCTCGTGGTGAGTTAAGGCGTCTGTGTTGTTTCCCCTCCTTTTTCCCAGTTGTGTGCTCATGTGGCCAAGGGTAAAAAGTGCACGTTTTTGGGAAACTGCACCTTTGCTCACAGCCAAGAAGAAAAGGAAGTCTGGACCTACATGAGAGAGAGTAATAGTAAGTGTGGGTGGTGGTGGCGGTTAGTGGTGCTGCTGGGCATACATTGCATGAATTAGCGTGGTTGAAACCTCCGATCAACACGGTTGGCTACGTGCGGTGCGAATAAAGTTCAACATATATCTACAAATCCGAGTTAAACTGCATGCATGCGCTGAGCTTGAAGCCCTTAGGTTTTTACAAAGCCAACTTCAAAGGCTGACCTTACCGCACACATTAAATGAATGACGAGTGTCGTGTGCATACACCAGCACTGGGGAGACAAAGGTGGCCAGGCGGTGCTAGCCTTACCCCAGCCCCTTGTGCTAAGTGCTGACCATAATAATGGCTCACTAAAAACAATTTGATTCAAGGGTTAAAAAAAACCCTTTCCCTAAAGTAGCCGGGTGGCCCAGAGGTCAGTGCTGAGCCGGTCCTGCTGAGATCTTGGGTTTGAATCTGAGTGGGCCTCCTCCTCCCTATTAAACTGGATTCTCAAGTGTCGCGACTTGATCGTCTGAGCCGAATCATCAATGGTCGTGCTCTAAAAAAACTCTCGAAGTTTTCTTTTCAACCTAATTTGGTTAATTTCCAGTTCGGTGAAATAAAAATATTGTTTGGTCTGTCGTGCACCTCCGATTAGCACGTTTGGCTACGTACAGTGCAAAAGAAGTTTAGCATACATACATGCGACGAACAGTCTCGGAGTAGAATGTTAAACCTGCAGCCACTCTCTGGCAAATGGAACAAACTAGGATTTCTAAAAGGATTCTGAAACATATGGCATGATGCTGAGAATACAATTCAAATATATTTAACATGAACTAACCTACTTGGCACTGTTATTTGCCAGTGATGCCACTTCCACGAGGTCTACCGAGACCCGTGTCTGATTTTGAACCTGTTTAGGACCAAGGTTCTGGCCATGACACAAGGGGCCTGATTCGCAAGCGGAAAGGAGCTGCGATTCCACTTATTTTATCTAAAAGATGCCCTTTAATTGCTTTGTCAGTTTCAGCACTGTTTACCATTTCTCACAGTAATTGTTGTTTTACATCAGCGGTCATCTGTTTTTGGAGTTGCATAACAGCATCGCAGCAATGCCTGAGCCAGGCCCTGGCGCCATGCCCTGTCTCTTGATGCCAGTTAAGGAAACGGAGAAGCTGTATGAAATTTGGATGGAAACGCACGGGCCCAAGGCAGCGGCTAAAGACACCACGGGGGGGACTCTGTCGGGCATCAGTGGACAGAGCTCGGAGCACATCTCTCTGCCTACCGACTACGCAGACATCACGGTGAGCAGCGGCACATGCGGCGGCACGCAACTCGCTCCCTCGCCGTCACTCGCCGCACCGGCGCTTCTAAGAATGCCGAGACGCTACCGTCTTTATGCAAGACGCACACGAGTACGAGCAATTGGGTACTGTATAGCTTCATGATCGAAATAATATTGAGCCACGTCGATTATTATACTCCAGGTACGCACGTAACATTTTGATGTGAAAATAGACCATTGACCCTTTCCCGTTCCGAGACGTCTGCAAGCTGCAGGGTGGGTGTCCCGTTCACCGCTGAATCTCGGAACGTGCAAGCGGTTAGCGTTAATTTCATTTAGAGAGACATACAGTGAGGGAAAAAAGTATTTGATCCCCTGCTGATTTTGTACGTTTGCCCACTGACAAAGAAATTATCAGTCTATAATTTTAATGGTAGGTTTATTTGAACAGTGACAGAGAGAATAACAACAACAAAATCCAGAAAAACGCATGTCAAAAATGTTATTAATTGATTTGCATTTTAATGAGGGAAATAAGTATTTGACCCCTCTGCAAAACATGACTTAGTACTTAGTGGCAAAACCCTTGTTGGCAATCACAGAGGTCAAACGTTTCTTGTAGTTGGCCACCAGGTTTGCACACATCTCAGGAGGGATTTTGTCCCACTCCTCTTTGCAGATCTTCTCCAAGTCATTAAGGTTTCGAGGCTGACGTTTGGCAACTCGAACCTTCAGCTCCCTCCACAGATTTTCTATGGGATTAAGGTCTGGAGACTGGCTAGGCCACTCCAGGACCTTAATGTGCTTCTTCTTGAGCCACTCCTTTGTTGCCTTGGCCGTGTGTTTTGGGTCATTGTCATGCTGGAATACCCATCCACGTCCCATTTTCAATGCCCTGGCTGAGGGAAGGAGGTTCTCATCCAAGATTTGACGGTACTTGGCCCCGTCCATCGTCCCTTTGATACGGTGAAGTTGTCCTGTCCCCTTAGCAGAAAAACACCCCCAAAGCATAATGTTTACACCTCCATGTTTGACGGTGGGGATGGTATTCTTGGGGTCATGGGCAGCATTCCTCCTCTTCCAAACACGGCGAGTTGAGTTGATGCCAAAGAGCTCCATTTTGGTCTCATCTGACCACAACACTTTTACCCAGTTGTCCTCTGAATCATTCAGATGTTCATTGGCAAACTTCAGACAGGCATGTATATGTGCTTTCTTGAGCAGGGGGACCTTGCGGGCGCTGCAGGATTTCAGTCCTTCACGACGTAGTGTGTTACCAATTGTTTTCTTGGTGACTATGGCCCCAGCTGCCTTGAGATCATTGACAAGATCCTCCCGTGTAGTTCTGAGATCTTGCATGGAGCCCCAGGCCGAGGGAGATTGACAGTTCTTTTGTGTTTCTTCCATTTGCGAATAATTGCACCAACTGTTGTCACCTTCTCACCAAGCTGCTTGGCAATGGTCTTGTAGCCCATTCCAGCCTTGTGTAGGTCTACAATCTTGTCCCTGACATCCTTGGAGAGCTCTTTGGTCTTGGCCATGGTGGAGCGTTTGGAATCTGATTGATTGATTGCTTCTGTGGACAGGTGTCTTTTATACAGGCAACAAGCTGATATTTGGAGCACTCCCTTTAAGAGTGTGCTCCTAATCTCAGCTGGTTACCTGTATAAAAGACACCTGGGAGCCAGAAATCTTTCTGATTGAGAGGGGGTCAAATACTTATTTCCCTCATTAAAATGCAAATCAATTTATAACATTTTTGACATGCGTTTTTCCGGATTTTGTTGTTGTTATTCTGTCTCTCACTGTTCAAATAAACCTACCATTAAAATTATAGACTGATCATTTCTTTGTCAGTGGGCAAACGTACAAAATCAGCAGGGGATCAAATACTTTTTTCCCTCACTGTAGACATCATTGTTTTTAAAGACATTGCACTCACCGCAGAGAACTGTAACGACACCACCGCATTCTACGATAGCTGGTAGCAAACTGTGCCACACCCCCTCCCGCATGGCCTTGTGGGAACCTCGGTACCGATGAAGTTATTTAATTTTTTCTTCCGTACAGTCACATTTGTCTGTTTGCAGTTTTCTTCTATATCCCATTAGCCTACATATAGGCAGAATTGGTTAGTAATCGGTTCTCAAGCGTGCAGTTGAATGCGTGTATTGTTGTGAACATTGGAGGCTCGTGAAGGACGCTGCTGGGCAGTTGGAGACAGTCGCCCTCCAGCAACAACGGAGGGCAGAGGAGCGACGCTGACGACAACGAGCGGAGCACCGTGCGGCTAAAACGCAGCAAGTTGGCATAATAGGGGGCACAGCTTATTCATCTGCCAGTCATCTCAGTCAGTCAACCCATGGCACCTGGGCCTGTCCGGTGACCTCCTGTCAGAGAACCTTCGACACTTCACATGGCCTCTAAGTGCACCTGGCCTGGTAGAGGCACCGTAGTGACGTCACAGCCCCTCAGTAGCGAATTGCGGCTATTGTTGTTGGGAATCGTGAAGGTACGTATCGTATGTTGTGTTATGCATGGTGCGCTCATGCCGTGTGCGTGGCTGTGTGCTGCTGCTGCTACTGCTGTGTGCCACGCCTGCAGACCGGCTTCCACTGCTGGCTGTGTGGCAAGAACTGTAACGGTGGGAAGCAGTGGCAGCAGCACATCACGTCGGAGCGGCACCGCGACCGTGTCTTCCTGGACGATGATGAGCAGAACTGGCAGCATCGCTTCCCTGCTGGGGAGTTCTCTCTGTGCCCGTTGTGCGTGATTACACACAGCCACCCAGCAGCCTACACTCGCTCACACACACTGGCTCACGGTGCATAACCACCATCCAGCAACCTATACACACACACGCTGATCCATGGTGCATAACCACCACCCAGCAACCCCCACACACACACCAATCCATGGTGCATAACCACCATCCAGATACCTACACACACACTAATCCATTGTGCATAACCACCACCCAGCAACCCCCACACACACACCAATCCATGGTGCATAACCACCATCCAGATACCTACACACACACTAATCCATTGTGCATAACCACCACCCAGCAACCTAGAAACACACTAATCCATGGTGCATAGCCACTACCCAGCAACCTACACACACAGTAATCCATAGTGCATAACCACCACCCAGCAACACACTGGACTGTGTGGGGGCAATACTTCATTTTGTGGCCTTTAGGTCACTCCAGCAAACTCTGCTTGCTTGGAAAGCTCTCCCTTAAAAAATATCTACCCATCTCTTGTAATGTAGAATGTAGCAACTGACCCGGATGAAACCATTACTCTCTGGATGCTTTACTTCAGGTGCACTTGGTCTGCCTGCTGCGAGGCTTTATCCTTCCCCCTGAAGAACCACTTTGTCCTCGCTGCTCACACCACTCATTCATAAAACACATTCCTTTATTGTTAATGTTAACGTGCTTGGCAACTAGGTCTAATGAGTATAGGATGTCACCTGATTATTTATTAATTAATTCTAGATACAACGCACAAACACGATAATTTTAAACACCTATGAACGAGCGAGAGTTAATCTGTTGCTGTGAACTCACGTAATTGTTGAAAGTGCACTACTTGTAACCTTTTAACCTTTGGTCTTGTTGCACTTCTGTGTCAACCACGGATGTGTAGATCACACCACACATCTCCCAATGAGTATTATTAAAATGTTTTATAGTTGTTACAAATGCTACTGCTGTAACAGAACAGGGCATCAATGCGTTGCACCGCGTCGACGATAACGGCGGAATTGTGACTCATAATTTTTTTTTGTTAAAAAAAACTTGATTTGTGATTAATTTATTTTGTTGTTTGTCATCCACACCGTTTGTGCTGCTCACTCTCCTCCCGCAGGATTGAGCACGGGAACATTTGTCCCGAAGAGAGTGAGTGCAAATACGCGCACGGTGCCGCCGAGCTCCAGGAGTGGATCGAGCGACGGGATTACCTCAAGTCCAAACTCGCCAAGGCCATCAACGACAAGCTCATTGATGAGCGGGGGGATTTTGGAAAATACAGTTTTTTAACAAAATAGTATTCGCTTGTAACCCCCCGTTAAAATTGTTAATGGATATCATCTTATTTTTACCAATCAGTGAAATGTTGACAATATTTACAGCTTAATTTTAATATAATACTTAATCTTGCTTTGCATAGAGAATGTATTCAAATGCAAAATTGAACCGAGTGGTTGGGCTAAGAAGTAATGGGAACTTTAGTTGGTAAGAAATTGTGTGGCAGAATAACTTTGGCAGAATACACAACGATCCGTGTGGATTTATTTCCGTATCAAGTCCGTTTGAAATATACAATTATATATATTTTTTTGTTTAATGTGATTGCCACTTTGCATTATGGGCCTTTTTTGAGCAGCATAACAGGACAATCCCTGGACGGAGGAGTGAGAGCCGCCTGGGAGACTTGTCTCCACCACACTTCACTCACGCTCTGGCTCCCGTCAGCTCGTGCCGTGTGTGCGCTGCTTGCCTGCGTGCGTGCGCCTGTTTTGAGCATGGTGCCATGTCCCCACCGTAATAGAAATTATTTTATTTGTGGTTAGATCACGTAAGTCTAAATGTGTCGTTAAACTCGCCACCACCACCCGACAGCTAATTGGTGAGGTTTGTCACTTACACGATCTATCCTTAAAACACCTTTATTTTGGATAATATTGGTCGCAAAAGCCTACGTGTTTAAGTGAATATTCATTTGCTTTTGTGGCTTGTTATGCAGGGCACCAATTATTTTTTTTATTTACGTCTTTTCCCCTCTTACAGAAAATAAAAGTTGAACTTGCTCACCAGCCCTATAGGTTGCTGTGAACTGTGTGCGGTAGATTAGCCTTCGCGCACACCGGCTTGCCACCTGACGCATCGTTTCCATGACCACTCAGAGGTGTACCAGAAGCGGCCTGGCCTGCAGCAGTGAGCCATGGGAAAGAAACTGGACCCCCCCCCTCCATGCTTGCCCATCAACAGCCCAGGAGCAGCGGTAGTAGCCTCTTCGCACCTTCTGCACTTCAGAATCAGAATTTTTTATTATACTGGAGGAATCTGATGAGCTAGAAAACTTTTTCACAGATGTCCATTTGGGGCGGGTCAGAACTTTACAACAACAAACAATACACAAACACGATAGGAGTGGAAAGTATAGGAAAGGTAAGCAAATCACTAAGAAAAATACAAAGAAACCTTTATGTTACCAGGTAAAGCCCACCAAGCTATTTGCTTTTTCAGAAGCGACCTGGCCACAAATGATAGCTCAACGAAGTGGCTTATCACGTAGACATTTATAGCAGCCAAATACTCATTTGTAGCTAAGCCGCTTCTGAAAAAGAGCTATGCAGCTCAGTGGGCCATACCTGGTAAAATATAAATAGTTGTATAGTTGGTCCAAACGAACAACTAATATTTTTGGAAGAAGAGAACATTTGTTTTTTGTAATTAATTGGGGTGGTGGGGGAAGGTGGTGAAGCAAAGGGTGATGGGATGAGCAGCACCAATGAGGTCCGGTATTCAAATATTATGAGGTCGCACTCATACACACAGTGCTTCTCACAAACCACAAAACCTGGTCGATCTTGTCAAGGACCATAAACCATCACGCCAATTCCGGTCATCCTCACAGTAGCGGCTTTTGGCTAACCAGTGAACAAACACGGTCACATGCTTTCAGGTGCGCTTCTACAGCCGTCTGGAACACTCTCTTTTCCGATATTAGGAAGCCACTTGAGCTGTCCACTTTCAAACCTAAATTGAAAACTCATTTCTTTTTAACTACTTTTTGTGTTTAGTTGGCCTTCCCCTGCACCTTCGATGAGCACGGTTGGCTACGTACGGTGCGAAAGAAGCTCAACATAGTCACCTGTGATTAAACTGATACGTGAGTTTATCATCTCAGTCCATTCGCCAATGAGGCTTACTCTATGATAAGTAAATATTTATTTTGATATATTATGAACACTCGCAGGACATGTAACATACACCCCGAGTGTGTATAATGAAATCTATCGAAGGGAATTGGAAGTCGTGTTGTGATATAACCATGTGGGGCCATGCTCTGACAAGGTGGCCCTAGATAGGAACTGCTCACCGTGAGAGTTGTGAATGGAACTTCCTTGGCCTCATGATGCCAATATTAGTCTAAAAGATGGGATTAGTAGGCGCTTGTGACACATTCGTTTGAATACATGGCAGAAACATGTCATGCCATTCTAGTTTTGACCAAAGCATCTGTTTACTTTTTTGTTTGATTGTTTTTAATTCACATAATTTAGCCTTTATGGTTATTTTAAATCTGGTAGAATTGTTTTATGGTTGTGTATCTTTTAGGAGCTTTTTCAAGGTCTGTTTCTTTGGCTGTGTGCTTGGTGTAAGTTCTGATTATGCATCTTGAAGTTGAATATTGCAATGGTGTGGAACTGCTGTCATTCTTCAATGGCTTTGGGTAGGATTAATTGACAGCAGTGTGATCTATTTACACGAAGTTGTGCTCAAAATTAATATGAACTAAACAAAAGATCATGTGATTGGCTGTGTCGGATGGAGGTGGGTGTACGACACATTTAAAGTTTCGCGATCTTTGCCCAAAAAGCCTCACATGAACATGTACAATACGTTTCTAAAGAATCGGTGATATCTATTGGAGGGACGCAACTTGAAAACACAGCAGAATATTTATATACCTAGGGTATTGAAAGTGCACCGCAGCCAAAATTATTAAATAAATAGGTGGACGAGAGCTGACCTTGATTTTGAAGCAACATACCAATGTGCCTAAAGAAGTGTTTAACCAATGCGTACTACCACGACATGTAAGACATGGGGTAGAAACATGGACATTAAAGAAAATTATATGAATATCTGGAAATTGTGGAAAGCAGCACGTACAGACGATGCACATGCTTGGGATTATGACAGAATGATGGGACACATGGGATCAGAGAACATGAAGTTTGAAGACAATTATAACGCAGAAAAGTCTGGGCAAGAGCAGGACACGTTGCTAGGAGAGACGATGGATAATGGTCAAGAATAATTAAAGAGTACCAGCGAAGGGAGGGTATGAATCTCGTCCTCCACGGAGATGGAGTGGTCAATTCAAGACCGTGTGTAGGTGTTGGGCAGATTTTGGGAGGTGGTGACGGCCTGGGAAGGCCTTGATCCAGCAGCGGATTGATAATTTTAAAAGTGGACTATAAACCCAAACAAAAATCACAGTGTCAGAAACAATGTTAATATTATTTACTCTGCATCAACGAGGATAACGTGGGAAGGGTAATCGCGAGAGTAATCGCGTCCAGGTTGCTGGGGTCGTTAAAGACCCGTCCTGGTTAACTGTGAAGCATTACCAAACATCAACAAGGCAAGGGCTGCTCTAACTAATGTGTATGGTTACAGTTAACGCGTCGGTTTTTGTAGCCAATATGATTCACGTGATTGTTTCTTGGGTTAGGCCACGTAATGAAAAGTAATAATTGTCACGCAAAACAATTGTTAACGTGCCAATTAATTTGGCTATGTCGGTTGTGGCCTAATACAAACATCAATTATGAATGATGCGATTTAATCTCTTGCAGTTGGCAGAATTCGGTGAAGCAAAAATAACGTGTGGAAAACCTGCCGTTTTAGGTATTGATTGTTTAGAAATTCAAAATGTAAAAACATCTGTTAGGCCAGCAACGGGGAAAGTGATCGCCACTATCCAGTGCCAGGGCTGCGATGAGCTGGTTTCTAAGGTTGTCTTTCTTTTTGGAATGAGTTTGTTAATCGTAATAGATGATGCATCTGTGTGATATGTAACATTCACAAACAATAAAACTTTTGGCTGAAATTTACAGTTTTGACACAATGTACGGTAAGGCCTTGCTTAACGCGTGGTGTTCACAACGCGTTTTCACATTCGGAGAACACTGCACGAAGCGGAACGCGCTTTGTTATAACGCGGAACTCGCCCCGTTATAACGCGGTTTTTGAGCGGTGCAATGATAAAGTAACGCTGAAGCGGACCCTCCGTTATTTGTCCCGCCATCTCGCTGTGTGTGCACGCGCGCCCTCGCTTCGTATCTCGCCAAACGTTATCGTTACATTATTGTGAAATTATTTCCGTTTAACGTGGCTCTTTTCAGGAACGCATCTACCGCATTAAACGAGGGCGGCCCTGTATTAGCATGGTTGGCGACGTACGGCGTGAAAGAAGTTCGGCAAACATTGTGTGTGGGCACCGACTGCTGGCAGGGTCATGCCGAGCTGAGCAACTGCTTACAAACAGTTTAACAAGAACGTGGCTTTCACGACCAGTATTATCCATAGTCAAGGTTTTTGGGTTAGATCGCGTAAAATTTAAATGTTGTCGTTAAACCCGCAAACACCCGACGCAGCCAATCGGGCGGGCAGCCAAGATGATCATTAGGTGTACAGCCAGAGTGGTATTCTTTAAATCTGCCACTAGAGGGCAATCTTGATTTGAAGCTTTCGTGACTGCAGGAATCCATACTCTGGTTCATTCGGTAAAGTCACGTTGATCTTCTTTGATAAAATAACACAATAAAATTCTCACGACATTTCGGCCACAACACAGCCAAGCTCAGACCGCGACCTTTAAGCTAAAAGGTCGCGGTCTGAGCTTGGCTGTGTTCGCTCCAGCGCTGTCCTCCAGACAGTCTCGTCCCTTCACCTGATGAAGGCCGCTTGTGTTGTGGCCGAAACGTCGTGATAATTTTATTGTGTTATTTTATTTTATCAATTTATTATTTTATTTTCATTCTACGTGACTTTACCGAAAGAACCAAAGAAGATGAATCCTTGCAGTCACGAAAGCTTTAAATCGAAAAATAAAAGTCACGTTGGTATCCGAGAGGGCTTTTGAACAACGTGGCGTCACGGCGGCGTGTGAGGTGGGTGGGGGGCGTCACCTGTCTTCACGCCCCGCCCACTTTTGGGGGGGTGGTGTTCGCGCGCTCCGTGATTGGCTGTCGCGATCCTCGCGACTCTCGTCCAATGGAAAGCTGCCGAATCGCAAGGAGTCGCGAATGTAAATATATTCGTGGCTCTTTCGGTAAAGTCACGTAGAAGGGAAACAATTAAATAATAAATATATATAAAACTGTAAAATTATCACGACGTTTCGACTGCAACACAAGCAATCATCAAGAACCAAGAATATGAATTCCTGCAGTCACGAAAGCTTTAAATCAAAAACGTAAATATTGTTGATTTAAAGCTTTCGTGACTGCAGTGATTCATATTCTTGGTTCTTTCGGTAAAGTCACGTTGAAGGGAAACAATACAATAATAAACGTCGTGAGAATTTTATTGTTTTATATCTATTTTATTATTTTATTGCTTCCCTTCAACGTGACTTTACCGAAAGAACCAAGAATATGTAAATATTGTTGTTTTTATGGCGTCTCCTCCAGTCGGCGAGCGCGACTCGCGGCGGCCACGTTGGGTGAGGGGCGGGGCGGGGAAGCCGTGCCGGCGTGTTGATGACGTCATGCCGCCCGCTCGCTATATAAGCGGTGGGTAGGCGGCGTGCGCGGTGGCTTCCTCACCCAACGTGGCGGCCGTCGGCTGCCCGCACGGGCTGGCTCGCTCGCTCGCTCGCTCTTACACGTGGGGCTACGATTCTCGGGTTTCTAGCGGCCCCCAGGGAGGCGTGAGCGGGAACGAGTAAGGGAGGAGGAGGAGGAAGAGGGGAGTCGTGAGAGGGGAGGAGGGGACTGGAGGCGGGTTAGTAGCCGGGCAACCCCCCCCCACCACCACCACCGCGCTCGGCATGCGCGCTGGAGCCGGACCCGAGGAGCGAGTGGAGCCGCGGGCCGAGCCTCTGTGGAGTCGCATGGGCGGTCCCGCGCTCTGCGGCCTCGCCGCGCTCGCAGCCGCCACCGCGATTCTGCTGCTCGCCGTGGTGCACAGGTGTGGGGGAGGGGGCACTGGGACACGTGGAGACCTGAGCATGGGGGTACACGGGGAGACGGGGGGCCCAGGGGGGGTGGTGGGGGCACAAGAAGATGTGTACAACAGGGGTGCACAGGTGTGAGGCAATGGAATGAAGTCGGAGGTTGGCGGGGTCGGGAGGCACAGACGGGGAGACTGGAGCATGGGGGTACACGGGGAGCACAAGGAGACGTGTGTACAACAGGGAGACGGGAGAACACGATAGGTACGCGGTGGGTATGGACATCGGGCCGAACGAAACCTGGGTTAATGACGGGAGGCCACGCTACCGGGGTCACGGCTCCATCGGTCAGGGTTGGAGTTGGTGGGTCACGAATTTGCGCCGTCTCGCGAGTGTATCGGGGTTTTTTTAAAACTTTATCCCGCGAGCTGCAGTCACGGGTCGCAGTGACACGGGGGTTACTGTGACAGATCGAGGAATTCGCGTGGAATTCGCGTGGTCGCCAGCCCACGTTGACGGGTGTAGCCGCACAGATGGACCACAAGTCGTGCTATTCATGGGGGTGGTGGAGAGGAAGTGGTCAGGTGTCGGGGAGGTGGGTGAGGCACGGGACGTGATAGAGACACGGAAAGGTGACGGCACAAGGGCACGGACAAGTGCCGAGACGTGGAGGAGAGCGGAGGCGGCCCAGGGACCGGTTCGGGTAATCGTCACCGGTGGTGTCGGTGGCCGCGAGCGCCAAGCCGCTACGCCACCGCGCCCCGTCCGACTTGGCGATGGCCACGTGGAGTTATTGACTTTTGACACAGAAGAGGTCCGTGCGTGGTGACCCCCCCTCCCAGCAGCCGACACCGCCTCGACGTTGTAGCGACGTTCCAGCGACGTTCGTGGACCTCCGTCCTCACGCCGTCGCCGTGGATGGGATCTTGACGGATGATCGGACTTGACGGTGGAGTCCAGCAGGAGGAGCCCGCCGGGGTTTGCCCCGTTCCTGATGTTACGCGACTTTGTTTTTTTACCCCCATGCAGCCGAAGGGATTTATTTCTGTTTGCAAAAGTTTGATTTCGACTCTGCTGCTCAGCCGCATCAAGTGTTCCACTAAATACTCTGTTTAGTGTCTGCTTGAAGGAAAGTAGTAAGCATTGACGTTGAAGTTTGCTTGGTGGGGGGGGTGGTGGTGCTGTTGGCTCGCCTCTCGTGTCCAACCTCGGCGTCTCCCGAGGAGTGAAACGTGGCTCCTGACACCGCCAGGGCAGAGGGCTGGCCGGGCTTTATCCCCTCCCCCGGATGGTGCCGTGCCACGCGTGGTGGCTAGGCGATGTTGACTACCTCGCCTGGTATACAGGAGGGCGTGGGTTCGATCCCGACACTGAACGCCCGCTGCTGGATATTTGGAGTTTGCGTGTCTCTCTCCCCCCCCCCCCGTGGTCTCGTCGATTTTTCTCCAGGTCCTCCGGTTTTTCGCCACCACATTTCGAATCGACGTGGGTTTAAAGTATTTGGCTGCTGTAGATGTCCACGTGATAAGGCACTTCGTTTGTGACGGCCCAGGTCGCTTCCAAAAACAAGAGCGATATATATCGGTGGGCCTTACCTGGTAAAATATATTATTTTTATATATAGTTTCAACACTTACATCGAGTTTTCATCATTAAACACCCTACCTCCTCCCTTGGACCCATCCCTGCTTAACTTTAACCTTTTAGATCGTTGTTTAGATTGTGTGGCTGCTATACATTGCCGCACGATGATAGGCCACTTCGTTGAGCTATTATTTGTGTCCAGATCGCTTCTGAAAAATAAGCTCATAGCTCAGTGGGCTTTACCCGGTAAAATAAAATAGTTTTTCTAGTGATGTATTTACAGTTCTTATACTTTGCACTCCTATCGTGTTTTTTGTATTTGTTGTTGTGACGTTCTCACCCGCCCCCTCTGGACATCTATGAAAAAGAGCTATATAGCTAATCGGATTCCTCCAGAATAAATGCATATTCAGATTATTATCCCTGCTTCCCTCTCGACCTCCCCTCAACAAACTCTGCTGCTAAACTCCTGGTTCACTACCTCGTCTTCACTGAACTTGACTCCTGCCACCTCTCTTCGTGTCAGCCTTCCTGCCCCTGACGCCTTCACTCCTCTCCAACAACAGATGCACAACGCCCCAGCCCGAATAATTTGTAACCACCCTCTCCATCACAGTTCCCTGAATTCTGCTCTACTTTCCCAACTCCACTGGCTCCCTGTCTACAGTCTCTTTAAATGTCTCACTCGAGTCTACATCCCTCCATGGTCTTGCCCCACTTTCTCATGCCTCTCTCGTACCTCACGACTCTGTCCCATCCCAGCCTCTACGCTCTCAAGTCTCTGCTGTCCCTCTCTGTGCCTCCTCACCCTCCGCCCAGTCTCGTTCTCTCCTTCTCCCTTGTTCTAGCCCCCCAGCTATGACTAGGCCTATCACTACCCCAACTCTTTCCCCTATCACTACCCCTATAATTACCCAAACTCCTATCACTACGCCAACTTCTATCACTTCCCCAACCCCTATAACTACCCCTCCTTTGCTGTCCCAGCAGTTCTCCTAACCATCACCATAACTGCACCACCACTACTTTTAATAACCTGCTCTGTCTGTCAACCACTATCATATGTACAATTTTTAATGGCTGTGAAGCTCTTTGGAATTAGGTGTTATATAAATATATGTAGGATAAGATGTGGGAGACCGATGAGATATGAGAACTTAATCCTGCCCAGGCAACACATAGCCGACCATGCTAATTAGAGGAGCGGGGGAAGGACAACAAACTAAACACGAAAAGCAGTTCAAAATAAATAGTTTTAAATGTAGATTTAAAAATTTAAAGCTCCGATGGCTTCCTAACATTGGAAGAAAGGGCGTTCCAGACGCCCGCAAAAGCACATCTGAAGTCACACGATGCAGTTTGACCGTCTTTGTTCGATTCTGGCTCGTAGCCGGCGGGAGCGGCATCGAGCGGACCGTCGAACCAGGGATAAAGCGACGTAGTGCCCAAGCGGTCGTGCGTACTGCAAGCCTGTCCCCCCCCCCCCGTCTCTCCCCGTGTGTGCGCCCCACGCGTAGCCGAGGGGGCAGCGTGGAGCGGGAGGCGTGGCCAGCGGCGCCGCTGTTCCGCGGGGCGTCGCGCGTCGTCGACCTGCCGCTGGGCCAGCTGGACTGGGCGGAGCGCCTGCGCGGCGACGCCGAGGTCTGCGTGCTGGTGCTGTACGCGCCGTGGTGCGCGCGCTGTGTACGCGCCGTGCCGCACGTGGACCGCGTGGCGCATGCCCTCGCCGGACAGGTGAGAGTGCTTTGCCCCCCGCAGGCGAAAGCCCCTTGCCCCCTACGTAGGTTTCCGCCACCTATATTATTCGCAACAACGTTTTTTTTCCTTTGGGTGAGATCGCGGAAATGTGAATGTGTCGTAAAACCCGACAATGCTGGTTGTAATCACCAGCGCAACGTCACAGTACTCAAATTGTAAACGTGGATTTGCTCTCCAACACAGCGGTGTGCTGAATTAATAACTCATTGGCACGTTTTGTTCACGTGACAAAACTTACTGATGGGCTGCTTCGGGTGGAGTTGGGTTTTACGACACATTTACAATGACTGCCAGGCAGTAACATTTATTTCCCACAATTTGTACGCTTTGTCAACCTTATTCGCGTTTTTTACGTATCTTGTCGCACCAATAAAAAAATCTAAACGCCGTCACGCTTTTTGTTAATGGCAGCAGTAATAACAAAAACAATGTGCCTGCATATTGGTGCTGGGCGCTTCATCATTAAAGATAAACGCCTGCAATGGCTTTGATCGAAGCAGCATTTCACAATCATTTAATGCTGGTATAAACCAAGCAGCTTAGCAGTTGTTGTGTACATGGGGAAAGTGATTTATTGTTTCAACTGGGCTGGCTTTGGTCCCTTTGCGATATTTTAGGTGAGGAGAGAGTAACCACTGTTAATCCTTTCCCATTCCGGGAACGTTCTTGTTCCTATGGGTCATCGGAATGGGAAATAACGTTATTGGTACGTCTTCCGACCGGGAGCACGTGCGGCACAGTTTGGCGTCAGCTATCATAGAGTGCGATCGTGCCGCTACGGTTCTCTGTCGTGAGTGTAACGTCTTTAAAAACAACGCCGCTGCTTCGCCTCTCAATAAAATCAACGCCGAGCTGCTTGCGCATTCCGAGATGCGGCGGTGAAGGGGGCACCCACCCTGGAAACGGGAAAGGGTTAATCGTGAGTGTGTGAGTTACTCGAGGGAATAAACTCAACATCAGAATCCGTGCTGGTACGTCCCATCCACCTCTGCTTTCAGGTGCTGTTTATTGCGGTGAACTGCTGGTGGCCCAAAGGGAGATGCAGGCGAGAGATGAGCTTCTCTTTCTTCCCAGCGATCCACATCTACCACACCGGGTAAGGCGGTGAGCAGCCCCCCCCCGTAATCCACACTGTCTCGGCCCTGAGGCCTGCCTGCGTGGCACAGCAACAATTAATGCACGGAGCAGCGACGCTGCAGCCAGCACCAACTTTGACAAAGAGCCCCTGTTTTAGCCTGAACACTTTGTGGGGCGAGTGCTGTCGGCGATCAGCTATGAAAGCCCGCCACGGCACAGGAAGTGGGTGGATGGTCCGCACCACGCCCAGCCACCTTTGTCTCCCCGTTGGTGATGTTGATGCCGCACCAGTTACTCGTCACAGCCCGAGAGTTAGAAGTGCTATTTGATGCATGGCTTGTTCAGCCAGAGCAAAAATACCCTGCTCTAGTGGAACACGTATCGTCTGTCCAGTGCTCGCCGAGCTGCATTGGCTTCCCATTGCTGAACGAATACATTCTAGTATCAGGTCGTACTTATTACACACAAAGTGCTTGCCCCACAAATGAACCACGATACTTTGCCGATGTCGTCAAGGAGCATAAACCGTCATGCAAACTCCGGTCATCCTCGCAGCGGCTTTTGGCTCCGCTGATCGAGCAAAGACGGTCGCCGTTTCGTGCGCTTTCAGATGCGCTTCTGCGGCCGTTTGGAACGCTCTTCCGATATTAGGAAGCCACTGGAGCTTTTCACTTTTAAATCATCTAGATTGAAAACTCATTTCTTTAGAACTGCTTTTTGTATTGGTTGTCCTTCCCTGGCCCCTCCGATTAGCACGGTTGGCTATGTACAAGCTCGACACACACATCCATGTTATGGTGACGCCTCCTGAGTTTTGCCACGGCGGGCAGGCGGGCGGCCGCTGTAAGAATTCCGGGAGAGTGTCGTGGCTCCGTGAGCGAGTGGCTCCTCGTGCCGCAGGCTCGGCCCCATCCCCTACGAGGGCCCGCTGCTCGCCTCCTACCTGCAGGCGTTTGTGGAGCGCGTGATGGTGCCCGTCACGCACGTCGCCACGCCGCGACACCTCCTCGACTTTCTCGCCACGTCCGAGGTGAGCACTGGCAGAACCCCTCCCTCAAACTCCGGTCATCCTTGCAGCGGCTTTTGGTTAACCATCGAACAAAGACGGTCACTGTTGCGCGCTTTCAGATGCACTTCTTTGGGCATCTGTAACGCTCTTCCAATATGAGGAAGCCACTGGTGCTATGAACTTTTAAATCTAAATTGAAAATTAATTTGTTTATAACTGCTTTCTCTGTTAAATTTGTTGTACGGTGCACCTAGCGTGACACATGCTCTGTGGTGACATGGCGAATGATGGCTGTTGTCGTATGTGTGTATGTCTGTGGCAATGTATATGTGTGTGAACCCGGTGACCCGAGTTCCATTCCTACTCATGGCCACCGCAAGTGACGATTATCTGAACCAGTCCTGGGCCTCTCCTAGGTCGTCGACTCGGCTTCAAATGAGTATTCTTTAGAATACCTGTGTCTGTGTTTGCGTCCCCTGCAGCCGGGTATCTTGGGATTCTTTGAGTTCAATGCATCTCCGCAACCGCCTGGGTACCTGGAGTTCTACCGTGCTGCCCTGCTGTCACTACAGAGAGGTAGGACAACGCGCACACACACACACGTGATGGTGTGCGGGGAGACGGGAAGCACGCGGCAAACGTCGCAAACGTGGCCTACATTCCACCTGTGCAACGAGACTCTGTCCCACTCTTACTCCAGTTGAGCCGTTTGGGGTCGCGTCGTGAGATGCTTCCACAAGGAGCTCTCGCTGAAAGCAGCGCACCAGGTTGTGTTAGAGAAGGCACCTCTGTAAGATGAGGTCACAGCACCAGGCCGTGTTAGAGAAGGCACCTCTGGAAGATGATGTCACAGCACCAGGCCGTGTTAGAGAAGGCACCTCTGGAAGATGAGGTCACAGCACCAGGCCGTGTTGGAGAAGGCACCTCTGGAAGATGATGTCACAGCACCAGGCTGTGTTGGAGAAGGCACCTCTGGAAGACGAGGTCACAGGACCAGGCCGTGTTAGAGAAGGCACCTCTGGAAGATGAGGTCACAGCACCAGACGGCGTTAGAGAACGCACCTCTAGAAGATGAGGTCACAGCACCAGGCCGTGTTAGAGAAGGCACCTGTGGAAGATGAGGTCACAGCACCAGGCCGTGTTGGAGAAGGCACCTCTGGAAGATGATGTCACGGCACCAGGCCGTGTTAGAGAAGGCACCTCTGTAAGATGAGGTCACAGCACCAGGCCGTGTTAGAGAAGGCACCTCTGGAAGATGATGTCACAGCACCAGGCTGTGTTAGAGAAGGCACCTCTGGAAGATGATGTCACAGCACCAGGCCGTGTTAGAGAAGGCACCTCTGGAAGATGAGGTCACAGCACCAGGCCGTGTTGGAGAAGGCACCTCTGGAAGACGAGGTCACAGGACCAGGCCGTGTTAGAGAAGGCACCTCTGGAAGATGAGGTCACAGCACCAGACGGTGTTAGAGAAGGCACCTCTAGAAGATGAGGTCACAGCACCAGGCCGTGTTAGAGAAGGCACCTCTGGAAGATGAGGTCACAGCACCAGGCCGTGTTGGAGAAGGCACCTCTGGAAGATGATGTCACAGCACCAGGCCGTGTTGGAGAAGGCACCTCTGGAAGATGATGTCACAGCACCAGGCCGTGTTGGAGAAGGCACCTCTGGAAGATGATGTCACAGCACCAGGCCGTGTTGGAGAAGGCACCTCTGGAAGATGAGGTCACAGCACCAGGCCGTGTTAGAGAAGGCACCTCTGGAAGATGAGGTCCGGAGTTGTCTTAGCCACACGAGGTGATGCTCCTCTCACTTCTCGGAAATGGAAGGGTAAGGGAAACGCATGTCACATTTATACAGGAAATCCTCGTCGGGTCTTCAGACGTCTTCTCAAGCTGCCTTCCAGTTCCCAACACCGGCTCGGCACCTCTTGAGAAGAGCCTCGTGTGGGGTCTGGGTTAAAATGCAGTTCAGCATCGTTCTTGTTTCTCACAGAATCGATGAAAACGATTAAATAAAATTATTTTACCAGGTGAGGCCCACTGAGCTATGTAGCTTTTATTTTCAGAAGCGACCTGGCCACATAGCTCAACGAAGTGACTTCTCATGTGGAAATTTAGAGCAGCCAAATCCTCTTAAACGCATGTTTATAAATGTGGAGGGAAAAACCAGAAGACCTGGAGAAAAATCCACTGGGAGAGAGAGACATTGCGAACTCCACATATACAGCAGACGTCGGAGTTGGGGACGAACCCACTGTGGCATCTACTCAGGCAGGCGATTTGTCCACATCAGTGGAGAGACGCCTGATCGCCTAAATCAGGGGTCGGCAACCCGCGGCTGCGGAGCCGCACGCCGGCTATTTAAGGAACGCTGTGCGACGTTATTTATTGACGACCACCGTCGTGTATTCGCGTGCATTGCGGCTCTTGAAATATTTATTTTTTTACCGAATTTGAAAAGGAAAATGTCTCTCCTCGTTATTTTTGGTCGCCGACACCCCTGGCCTAAATGTTCTAAAGCTGAAGAGCTTTTTATTTTTTTCAAGTCCGCTAGGTGGCGCCACGGGCCATAAGTTCACGCGTGCCCAACGCGTGAACCCCCAAGCGAGCCGCGGAGAGGCCGGCGTCGCCGGCGTGCTGGTGGTCCCCTCTCTCTGCAGATGGAGACTCGCCGCTGGACTTCCCGCAAAGTGGCGTTTGTGTAAACGGCCGCGGTGGGCCTGCGGGCCGACTCGACGACCCCCGCTCGCGTTGGTTTCGTGACCTCGCATGTTCCAGGCAGTGGCCGCCCACGTGGAGGGCCCCCGGTGCAATTGGTGGAAGGCTCCCTTTGCTCATAACGCGCGACAGCCCCAGCTGCGTTTGCTTCACAGGCCACTGCCGGCTGATGAGATTTGGAGAAGCTGTATATATTTATTAAGTTTGTTGAACCAGCTGGCCGGGATTGGGCAAAACCCCTAGCCCACCTTTCTCCCAGGCAAATGGATAGTGCAGACCAGTTGTTATGAACCTGAAAACTAATAATTACATATTTCAGATCCACAATTCATAGACAAATAATGGGACCAGCATTGGTGATGGACTTGCGTTTTGCTTTATGAGATGGCTTCGATTCGCAGGATATAAAAACCAATAGACGAGTTTTGCTCTTTGGGAAAGTAGCAGTGGTAATGTGTCTTGAGAGACTTGGGGTCCTTCCAGGGGAATGTGGAATTTCCACGAGTGTCATGAGAGCTCCCGACCAGTGATGAGCCGCCGGTCCTATTGCTCGTGTGAGTGCGCGGACACGCTGTCGTCACCATCGAGAGGATGGATGCTCTGAGATATTTCATAATTTTGAGTCTTTATTTATCCTGGAGAAATGCGATGAGCTATGAAGCTGTTTTTCACAGATTTCCAGTAGGGGCACGGAGTCAGAACATTACTACAACAAACTACAAAAATATGATAGCAGTGCAAAGTATTGTGAATGTCAGCAAATCGCTATAAATAAATACACTTAAATGAAACTATTTTTTTTATTTTACCAGGTAAAGCCCACTGAGCTATTAGTTATTTCTTCGGAAGTGAACTGGTCACAATATGGAGGGATGCCCATATTTTTATGTTGTCCACAACGACGTGAATTATTATTTTATGTTATTTATTTTATATATTTTTTATGAAACATGACCTCGTATAAAGGGAGGCTTCCTTGTTTGTAAGATCGCTACTTCACCAGCATTGATTTAAACAAGCCTGACTGCTGATCAGACACAAAACTGGTCCAGAGTTTGCTGGACTTGAAGCAACGCTGCTGAAGTTATGCACTCCCAGAAAGCCGTGGCTTGTTGATGGGTTGAGTCAGAACTGCTTGCATTTTTCACGTGAAGACAGGTGTGCGACGAAGACGTCTGCTTATTTATTGGCGCGGAATACCAGGTGCGCTCTGAGTAACCGCGGTGAGCCGTAAACAGAATCGCATGCACAGCCGCGTCGCGTCAACGCTTGACTTACAATTACTGCGCACCTCTTGGTCACCTGATGAATTCGGCGGCTGTTTCACAGTTGAAATCTCACCGCTCTGGTCTCGTCCTACAGCAGTGTTCTTCACAAATTTTCAGAGGTGGGGGGGGGGGGGGAGCCACTTTCGCCAATAAGACATAATCAGTGTGAGGGCCGCCACACATTTGAAACCATTGGGGGTTTGACAGCAGAACGATGATGGGGGGGGGGGGGGGCGGTATTTTCACTTCTAGATTTGAAGCTTTTGTGACTGCAAGAATTCATACTTTTTGGTTTTATTCGGTAAAGTCACGTAGGTACAATACCGTATTGTACCTACGTGACTTTACCGAATAATTGTATTGTCAGGGGCCGCACTAGAGGCCACCAGGGGCCGCCAGTGGTCCGGGTTGGACCTTGCAATGAAGAACGCTGCTGTCCCCCCATCCCCGTCTGAGTCTCGGGTGTCCTGCTTGGTCAGCTGATCGCCGGACGCTGCACAAATACCCCGACTCAAATCGGAACCTCGTGCTTGGTTGCACTGTTTTGACGAAGTGAAATGAAAAGCTCTAAATTACCACTTTAACCACGAAGGCAACTGCAACGCCTGGTATTCCCCACACTGTCTCTCGTCCCAAGTACTAACCAGGCGCAACCCAGCTTAGTTTGCTGAGATGTCATGAGATGGGCTGAATTTATGGTGATTTGGTCATCGGTGAATTTTCACGTGTAATTAAATTGTGTTTGGGGCGGGTGTAAAATTAAAACCATCTGATGGTGAGTGCCTGCACTGGGTGTGATCGCCGCTGCACATGGATTCCGTGCGCACCCTGCGTGACCGCCGCTGCGCTTGGGTTTTGTTTCTCTCCGGCAGACGGCACGGCGCCACTGCGGTTCGGCGTGCTGACGAGCGGCGGCGTTGCCCAGCTTGCGGGCCTCGTGCGCTCGGGCTCCGTGTGCATGCCCCGCCTCTTCAACTCCACCGCGGTGAGCCTCGGTCATAGCCCTGGCCCCAGCTCTTGCCCGCTCATGGCCCAAGCCCCAGCCTGGACCTCGGCCTTGTTCATGGCCCAAGTCCTGGTCATAGCCCAGGCCCCAGCCCTGGCCCCAGTCATGGCCATGGCCCAGTGCCGGATTAAGCTAGTGCGGGGCCTGAAGCATATGTTATAAAGTGGCCCTAAATAATAATAAAAAGCTAAATATTCAAACACTTACATTTTTTACTTGCATAGTAACGTAATTGTATTTTTTCATTTGCTATACAGCCAGATAATACGACAAATCACTAACCTTAAACACCCACCCGTTCGTAAAAGTTGAAGGCAGTTTAGTACTATAGTAATAGAGCAAGTGCAGAATTGCTGAACCGGAATTGATAGCTTGAAAGCATTTAGTGCGGGCCCCGTGAAAGTGCGAGGCCCGTAGCGTATGTAGCTACTTTTGCTACAAGGATAATCCAGCACTGCGCAGGCCCCAGCCCTGGTCCCAGCAGCAGAAGGAGCGCAGTGCGCGACCCTCTCAGCACCGTGTCCTCACTGCCCCCTTTCTGCGTGTCCACCCTGGGCTCGACACAGCAGCTGTGCCAGCCCTGGGCTGCAAACAACCCTCCCGGGGACTGTGCCTTGGCGGTCCCTTTTCCATCATCGCTGTCAGCACCTGCACACCTGTAATTCTATAAAACCGCAGCGATTCCGAAACCGCACCATCAAACTGTCTGCAGAGAAACCATTTGCATCAGGCACTCGCCTAGTAGGGGGTCCTGCACAACCGTTGCTGTGTAGGACCCCCTACTAATGGCTTAACGCTTTCTCTGAGTACGGCTGAGACAGGGAGAGGCGATCAGAGTGGAGACGTGCCTCAGAATTTTCGTCTCTTCCCCCTCTGAGGCATTTAATGAACTTTGTGATACTGACACAGCTGTCTCTGTGCTTGTCCTTCAAAGTGTGGCTTGAAATACTTGAAAGCTGGACAGAAGGGCGCCTTTTCATACGGTTCAGTTCTGACTTTGAAGATGCGATTGGCACCAAAGCAGGAAATTACATTTGCTCATTAGTGTCTCCTGGAATAGTGCAACTCCGCGCTAGACATTGATGTTCCCCGGAGTTCCATTGGCTCCACAACCAGTGCTCACCGATGGAACCTTGGTTTAAAGTCAGAACTATATTATATGGGTTTTTCTTACTTCGCTAATTTTTAATAACCCTTGATGTTAATGAATTAATTTGTGTCCCAGATAAGCAAAGGTGAGAGCAGTCGGCACGAAAAAATGAACGTCGTCGGCCAAAATATCACGTTGAAGAGTGGCGTGCCTGCACCATTCACTGTCACGTACGAAGAGTGGGTGCTCACGAATGTCAATAAGATCGATGAACGTTGGAGTAGTCGGACTTCAGATGGGAGTACGTTTCGTACTCAATTTATATATTTTTCAATAATGACGTTAAAACAACAGCTTTTTATAATAAATAAGAATAATAGTCTCCTTTTCCTAGGAGAGCAATTCTGTGGCTCAAGAGGGTCCTGCATTGGCTGGTTGAGTTCTTTCAGTACTTGAGCATTTGGCTTCACGTGGGAAAAAAAAACGGCGCATTTTGCGGATTGGCACTCAAACCTTTGCACAGATGAGTCACGAGGCTGTAACTGCCATGTGCCGAGTAGTCCCGGTCATGACGCCGGCGTCACGCCTGGTATACAGGAGACCGTGGGTTCGATCCCTACCCTTGACAATGCCTGTATATTTGGAGTTTGCATTTATCGCTCCCTGTGGTCGCGTGTTTTTTTTCTTTGGTTCCTCCGGTTTTTTCCCTACACATTTATAAACATGCGTTGAAAAGGATTTGGCTGCTATACATTTGCACGTGATAAGCTACTTTGTTGGACTCTGAAAAAGAAGCTAATAGCTCGGTGGGCCTTACCTGGAAAAATAAAAAAAATAAGCTATCGCTTAGTTTTCGTCCGATTTTTACCACCTTCAATTACCACTGTTGGCTACAACAACATAGTCCGCCAGTGTTTCCCCCGCCGTCGTCGTCACGGTGGGCTTCTGTGTTCCGGGCAGGTGTTCACCGAGATTGGTGCGGGCGCCACGGCCGAGACGCTGTACCGCTGGGCCGCGGGCGCGCGCCAGCCCCCGCCGCTGAAGTGGCTCCGGCCCAGCGGACGCAAGAGCCTGCTGCTCAACACGGAGCTGCGCAAGGGCCCCGCGCTCATCCTGTTCCTGCCCTTCCGGCCGTTGCGCTCGGACGGCCACGAGCTCCTGCACATGGTAACCGCTGCTCGTTCGCGCGCGCGTGCGGGGCGAACGCTCGCCCCCGGCTCCCCCCGTGACACCGACCGTTGTGCGGTTTTGTCTTCTGTTCGTGTTGTGCCGGGGGGCAGATGGCGGGTGAGCAGGGGGAGAGGGTGCTGTCCAGTAGGTGGCACGGTTATCGGCACGGTTCCAGTCGCGGCCGATGGGGAATTTTCGGCAACGGTTTCCACCTAAAAATTATCCTGGGTCTTTCGGTAGAGTCACGTAGATAGGTTCAAATAAAATAACAAAAACTACGAAGTTTCGATCGCAACACAAACGACCGCTACGTGACTTTACCGAAAGACCCAAAGAATATTAATTCCTGTAGTCACGAAAGCTTTAGGTCAAGATTTAATCACTGTATGTACTATATTAACACAATTACACTTTGATTGCTTATGGTCTCAGCCAACAGCGATTGGAGAAGTCTGGGCCTGGCTGAATGCACGGTAAATGAACATTCGGAAGTGACTGCTTTCTGTTAACAATTAATATAACAAAAATTTAGTTTTCATTCATAAACAATTGGATACAATATACGTTCCATTAGTTTAATTATGGGCAGTGTTAGGGTATATATTAGAAGAAATGAAAGAATCGTAGGAAGTGCACAGCGTATGTACAGCGACACGATACAGGTGGTGATAGAAAATAGACGACATTGCAATGCAGTACTGAGAGAAAACGAAAACGGTAATCGGATATTTGCGGCTATGGGATTTTATCATTAATTTTGGGGGAAATTGTTTAATTCGGGTTATGGATCATTCTCAGGAACCTAACCCTTCTGTCACCCAGGGACTGCCTGTGTAAAAAGAATGTTTTACCGAGTTCACTGATTGGCTGACACTGATAATATTGGGGGTGGGGGGGGGGTGAGGAAGGGGGGAAATGACCCCACCCCCCGTTCTTCCCGCACCAACATTTGATAACGAAGGGCCGACTCAGCACTTGACTTTATCCGGGCGACTAAATGAATAGAATGGCTCCCCGAAATCCTCAATCTAAGTACTGCTTTTGGTCTCTTGAAGACGAGGACTCCTTTTCAGCGAGGCCTTGACAAGGTGTGGAGCGAGTATGTCGGCACGCCCACTTGTGTCGTCCCCAAATGGAGGCTTCCACAATCATCATCTTTGCATTCTTTTTTTTTGCATCTCTTGCCACCACCGTCACATGAGGTTTGGTGGATCGCAATAATGTTGTAAAGCTCCATTCCCGTGGGCGTTCAGGTGCTATGCCCTAGCCCGCCAGGTGAGGGCTTTGTAGCAGAACGTGGACTACATCTGTCCCACCTGTACGGGATTAATTATTGCCCCTTGGCACGCGAGAGTTTTCACCCCGTGTTCTGGTTCCTCCCACGTGTAAATACGCGCAGCGTCTCTTGGCTCAGCCATCGAACAAAGACGGTGGTCGCCGCATCGCGCGCTTTCTGATGTGCTTCGGCGGCCGTCTGGAACGCTCTTCTGATGTTGGGAAGCAACTGGCACTGTGCACTTTTAAATCATCTAGATTGAAAATTCATTTATTGAGAACTGCTTGTTGTGAATAGCTTGTTGTCCTTCTCCCGCACTTCCTATTAGCGCGGATATCTACGTACAGAACATAGGTACATATAGAGGACGGCTGAGCTTGGGATGGAATTTGATGCCGGCTCACCGCATGGCTGCCCTCCCCGCTTGTTTTGCGGTTCCTCTTGGCGCCTCCGAGTCGTTCCCGGTCTTGCTGGAATGCGTCGCCATGCAGTAGCAAGCCGCTGTGGCGGGGGAGGGGGTTACAGTGGGGCACAAGCGAGGTTATTTTGGGGTTGCGCGCGATTTGGCGGGGTGCTAGGAAACACAGGCTGAGCATCCGACGTCCATGCAGGGTGCGTGCACAGAAAATGTCCCGCGTCGCACGGCGGCGATGCGTGCCCCGTGTCGTCTCCAGCACGCGCTGGATTGTGTTTCGGCTGAAGGATTGTGTTTCGGCTGAAATAGCACCAGTCATCGTGGAAACTTCTTGATGGGTCTCGAGTCAAATCTATATAATCTATATATTGATTATATCTTGCCCCCTCGGAGGAGACGGAGAGGGTGTTGGTGGTGGCACAGAGGAGACATGGAGGGTGGTGGTGGTGGTGGCACAGAGGAGACGTGGAGGGTGGTGGTGGTGGCACGGAAGGATGTGGCCTTGAAGGCCACGCGAGGACATCCTGACGTGCAGCTGCCACTTCCCGGACGCGCGTCAGCTCGGACGCCGTCGCGTGCGCTGGTGCGTGCGGATGGGGGTCGTGGTTGTTTCTCTTTTGATTTCTCCAGAGGAAGACTCGGACCCACAAAACACAAGGCCGTGCGTCGCAGGCTGTCTCCCGGGAGTCTTGAGTCGGGGAAACGTAATCCTCCCCCTTTACGTAGTGGTCAAGCTCTCGTCTTGACGCGACGCACAGCGAGATGGCGATGGACCCGGTGAACTTACTTCCCACCCCCCCCCCCCCCCCCCCCGCTGGGGATTGCCACCGGTGACCCTGCGATTCCCCTTGTGCTCCCCGAGCCTAGGATCGGAATCGTACATTTATCTATACTGGAGGAATCCGACGAGCTACAAAGCTCTTTCACCAATGTCCGGCGGGGTCTCGGGCTAGAACCGTGACGAGCCCATCCGCGTCGAGTCGCGTGAGAGGCCCCCCGCGCCAGTGCGTCCGCATCCCTTTTGCGAGGGACGCTCGTGTCCGAGCCGTACGCGTGGACGCCGGTGCGTTCTTGTCGACTGGGGAAGCGTCGCCGCCTCTTGCAGGAGACGAAAATTTGTCCCCCGGCGCCCGAAGATCACTTGCCAGCGGAGTTGTGACACGGTTCATTATTCACACTTTTGAGCGGCTGCGTTCAGAAGAGGTACCGTTGACCCGTTGCAGGGGGGAGGCGTTGCGAGCGGAACTTTAGCCGGGCAGTTGGTTAATGCTGCATTGTGCGGTTCTTTATTCGCCGAGGCTGACGGTGCATTTGCATATCTCTGAAGGGCGTGTTGTTTTAAAGCTTGAATGGATGAAACTAGCAACATTTTAGCTGTTGGCAGCACCACGGGAAGGGGGGGGGGAGCAGAGTCAAGGAGATTAATGAACGGGAATAAGAGCAAAGAATGGGAGAGGGAAGAGAGAATGGGGAATGGGAGGGAAAGGAACGGAGAGAGACGGGCACAGGGTTCAGGGGAGATGAGAGGGAGGGAGATGCCGCGGAGAGGCCTCGACACTGCTGCACGGAGCAGAGTCTGTTTTCATAGGGGGCAGAGTCTGCTTTCACAGGGGGGTGGGTTAGAGGGGAGGGATTCAGAGTGGGGGTGTCCCCCCCACCACCTCACCTTGCCCCCCCCACCACCTCACCCACCACCTCACCCTGCCCCCCCCCCCCGTGGAAATTCAACCAAGTGGAATAACTTGTCACTGGAGGTGGGTGGGTTTTGCCTGGTAAAATAAAAATAGTTTAGTTTTGGTATATTTATGTTTATTTGCCTACCTTTCTTATATTTTCCGCTCGCATCGTTATTTTGCATTGTTTGTTGTAACCTTTTGACCGCACGCGCGCCCCTTGCTGAACATCTGTGAAAACGAGTCTCGTAGCTCATTGGATTTCTCCAGGATATAAAAAAAGACACTCCGATTCTGATAAAGGTTTAAGTGAGCGGTCGTCGCGTCGACATCCTAGCTTGCTTGCTTGTTGCCATGCGGGTCCGCCGAGTTCGCTGACACCACCGACGAGTGAGGAGTAGCAGCAGCAGCGGCGGCGACCAATCGGTAAACCGGCGTGCGTGCGCCGCCGCCGCCTCGGGAGAGCTGCAATGCAGCACGGCGCAAACGGCAGCATCCACACACCAAAGCATGCGGAGTCGTGCCGCGTCTGCTTTTTGCTCACGTTAATTACAATTATAACATCACGCCCGTAGGTGGGGGAGGGGGGGGGACTTTGCCCGTGAAACCGTGATGGTATGATAGATGATGACATTCTAATATCGTACAGGAGTGAACGTCTTCCTGTGGAAATAAAAAAACCAAGGCTGTTTATTGAGTCTGATGGTGGCTGTGAGCCAGTCGCGTGGGGTAAACCAAGGGCAGAACCCCTACCAATTTTCACCCAGGCAAAGCCGAGAGCACAGACTTGGATGTTTCTTCACGTATCGCGATTCCCAAGACAAACCATTGCGTTTACTTAAGAACCTACAATAATCAAAATTTATCGCAAATATACAACTATAGAATAAAAATAAAGACTGTTTTTTTTTTTCACGTAACATCTTTATCGGTGATTCTCGTTGTGTCTGGGACCCTGTTGAGGCTGCCTATGACTGGGCCCAACCTCTGCCCAGATGCTTTATTCCCACAGCACAAACCACTTGAGCCGTCAACTCTAACCTAAATCACGTCGCCGACAACCATTCCCTTTGATGGGCTGTCACGATGATAACTCATCCTACCAATGTAAGTACTGAATATTCCTTGGCAAAGGCTATTATAAGAACTGTCCCACTTGGTGCGATTTTCTTTCTTTTCATCAAATATTCATGTTGTGCACTAAAGTGCCTTAGGAGGAGGGTCTCGAGTTGACTCCGACACTTGCAGGGTTGAGTGGGAGGAAGCGTGCAGGGCGTGCTGTGCTTCCATCAGCGACATGGGGAGTTGTGACCTTTTGACCTTGACATTTCCATCCATTCATCTTCCGCAGATATTATTACTGGGTGCCACGGTGGCGAGATGTTAACGACCTCGCCTGGTATACAGGAGGTCCTGGGTCTGAGTCCAACCCTGATGCCTTTTGGTTATTTGGAGTTTGTGTGTCTCTCTCCCAGTGAGCGCTTGAATTTTTCTCCAGGTCCTCCGGTTTCCCCCCCCCCCCCCCCCGCATTTAGAATAATGCGTTTAGATATTTCCACGCGATAAGCCACTTTGTTGAGCTATCATTTGTAGCCAGGTCGCTTCTGAAAAAGCTATATAGCTCAGTGGGTCTTACCTGGTAAAAATTTAAAAAAATTCATTTTTTTTATAGTTCAGTATAATGTTAAGTGTGCTCTCTCACATTGTAACACTCTTTTTCTGATGACGCACCTCCACAGCGACACCAGCGGCGCGCCAAAATATTAATTAAATTCTTTGAATTCGGCCAACTACTGGTCTGCCCGTTTTTGTCCTATTAATATATGGCACAATTGTAATGTGATATTTGTTTTCTTCGCACACTTATTTAGAAGTTGGTGCAATTTTTGTCACGTGTCAGTTTACTTCTGTTGTAATGGAATGTTGGCCACAGGGTAGCCCAAATGTTAGGACACATCGGGTTATATTTTAACACTGGCATTAAAAGTTTTTGTTTATTCTTTCTGTTGATATTTTATCTGTTATCAATATCTGTTTAACACGTGGTAGGCTTTTGCGACCAATATAATTCATAATAGAGGTGTATGGGTTAGATCGCGTAAACATAAATCTGTCGTTAAAACCCGCAACCACCCTACACGGCCAACCAGTAAGGGTTGTCGCGTATTCTGCTCAGACCGGGTAGAAATGGTAAAATAACACTTTACCAAAAGAAAACGCATACTGACGCCTTTCTGAATGCAGAGTCACACCATCACCCTGCACAGAAATCTGCTCTTATCAAGACGCTCATTCATCGAGCTAAGAACGTGTCAGATGGTGACAGTCTGAGAAGTGAAATTCAACATGTTAAAGAAGCGCTGCTAATGAATGGTTACAATGATGCACAAATCAACAGGGCATGTTCTGTTTACGTGACAACCCTTACTGTTTGGCTGTCGGGTGGTGGTGGGTTTTAATGACACAGTTGTACCTGCGGTGACTGCTATATCGGGGAGACGAAACGACATTTCTGACCAAATTCGCCAGCAGAAATCAGATTTGAAACACGGCAGAACGAATTCTTCTGCCGTAGCTGATCACTGTTACAACGCTGTGGGTTATCATGATATTGTTTTCTCCGATACCAAGGTACTCTGCAAGCCGTCTGGATACCACCAAAGATTTGAACATGAAGCCATACAGATATACAAACATAGACATAACTTCAACCGATAAGATAGATTCAAATTGAGCAATCATTGGAAAGATGTGATTAACCACCTATACCGATACTCTCCCCCGCCCTGCGTCCCCCCCCCCATCCGTGGCTCCGATGCTCTTCTTTAGCTTTCCCTTCCTGGCTCCACCCACACTCCCCACCCCCCCATGCTGTGCCCGTCCTCCATGGCTCCTCCCCCTCCTCTTACCCTATATAACAGTCTATCATCACAAATAGCTCTCTCTACAGTTATTTTGTTGTGCCCTTTTTTACACCTGATGAAGGAATCTTGTGTTGCCTCCGAAACGTCGTGATTTAATTTAGTTTTCATTTATTTTAATTTTATTTTTTTCCTACGTGACTTTACCGAAAAAACCAAAGAGTATTTAAGGACACATTTATATAGTTACGCGATCTAACCCAAAAACCTCTTATGGATGATCAATATCTGTTTTGCTTCTTCCTGTATGGTCACCTCAAATTCGTCATGTCCAAAACCCTAATCAAGAACCCTGAATGAGTTGAGACAAAACACGACAGACGAAAGTTCAGAGATTACAAATCTTTGTGAGATGGTTGTGGTGGCAGTGGCGGTGGTTCCTTTCATTGGCCTGCCACAGGCGCTGTGGTGGTGTCACCGTCGCTTGGTGCCAAATGGGCGGGTATTGGTGCTGTGTTGTTGATTCATTCGTGGTGGTGGTGGTGGTCCCAGGCAGAAGAACTCGCCCTGGAGTACCACAACTGCGAGTGCAGCGACGCCGTGTCCCTGCTGACGAAGCACCTGCGCGGCAAGCAGCGCGGCGCGTCGCCGGAGCCGGCCGCGACCTTGGCTCCCTGCTGCAGCTGCCTGCTGCCGCGGCCTCTGCGGCCGTCGGGGCGCCCCCTCGTCGCGTGCGAGCTGTGCACGCTGCCGCCGGTCCCCTCCTGCCCCGTCGGCCTCCCGGCCTTGGCGGCACTGCCGCCCGCCGCGGGAGGCCGCGCGACGTGCGACGGCCTGCGGGCCCAGGACGGCTACGGCACGCGGAGGTTTAGCCTGTGTTGCCGGCGGCTCGGCCGCGCGGAGCCGGGGTCGCAGACTGGCGCCGGCGTGCCGGGTCCTCTCGCCGGCGGCCTGGGCGGCGGCTCGTGTGACGGCGCGGGGGCGGTGCCGGTTCTGCGGGGCCTGCGGTGCCGCACCAACCGCACGCTGCGCTTCTATGCCATGGACTCGGAGCTGCACTGGGAGTTGGCGGAGCGGCTGGGGGCGCCGTCGCCGCCGGCCCCCTCCCCCCTCACTTTCGTCACCATCGTGAGCGTGGAGCAGGAGCAGCACCACGTGCTGCGGCACAACCACACGGTCAACCGCACGCAGCTGGGTGAGCAACTGCTTCGCAATCTCTCTTCGACCACAGTTGCACCACAACTGCTCCACAACCACCCCATAAACTGGAACCACTCCAATGGCAACTGCACCACAAACTGCTCCACAACCGCCCCACAACCGTACCACAACCACACGTTCTCTGCTCACGGCTGGATGAATGACCTGACCACTCAATCCCTGCCTTCTGCGCCCCAGCCACAATATCACCTGGGACTTTCAGGTTTCCATCCTATCCTCTTAGGTTCATTTCAGATCTCGCTAGAATCGGCGCCTGCCCGATTTTACGAGCATCTTCTGTACTCGGGCCTCGGCAGTGGCCCGACCTGTCATGGGAGACAGAGACGGGGGAGGAGCCTTGTGAAGTGCTCTGCTGCATCGGCGGAGTAGCAGCAAGACCGCCTCTAGCGCACGGGGCCTGGAAGTTGCAATACCCATGCATAAGAGGGGACCGCACTCTGGGTTCGTGATGCCCACTTTGCTGCACTGGTATTTCCCGGCCCACTCGGGGCAGCCCAGTGGGTTTAGGAGTGACGCAAATCGTGGCTGTGATCCACCAACCCGTGCCTGAATCACAGCCACAGCATCTGGGTGTGTCCACTTCTGCGCGGAGGTTGAATGCGCATATGCGTCTCCCGCGGTCATTGCCTCGCCCCCGCGGTCATTGCGTCGTCTGCGGTCATTGTGTCGCCGGCAGTCGAGTTCGTCGAGGAGTTCAGCCGCCATCACAGTGGCCTCCAGCGGCACTTGAGCTCCGGCTGCGGCGTGGCGCGGCCGCCCCCCACCTCCGCGCGGCCGCCCCTCGTGATGGAGGTCACGACGACCACCTTCCACGAGCTGGTGCTCGACCCAGCCAAGGTGGGTTTCCGCGGCATGGCCGGCGCTCGCGCCCCGAGCGTCGGCACCGGTCTCGTACAGCATATGTGTGTGTGTGTACGTGGGGAAGGATGGCAAACTAAACACAAATGCAGTTATAAATGAATTAGTACTCAATCTAAATGATTTAAAAGTGCGTAGCTCCAGTGGCTTCCTGATATTGTAAGGAAGAGCGTTCCAGACTGCCACAGGAGCGCATCTGAAAGCGCGCGATGCGATGACCACCGTCTTTGTTTGATGGCCAGCCAAAAGCTGCTGCTGTGAGGATAACCGGAGTTCGCGTGGTGATAGTTCATGCTCCTTGACGTTGCTATTGCGTAGATGCCGCTGCCAGCCACAGGAATGTGGAGTGGCTGTCACCGTATCAGGATTGGGGGGTGAGCCCTGTGCAGGGGATCGTGTGAGCATGAGGACAAATTTTATTTGTATATACGTATGTATGTAGAACTTCTTTCGCACCGTACGTAGCCAACCGTGCTAATCGGAGGTGCGGACAAAAATGTACGACTGATGTGTTTAATCAAACTGATTGTCAAATATAAGCGCTGAGCCGGCACCGCTGACACCTGGGTTCGAATCGAGGCAGGCACCTGTGAGTAAACCGGGTTCTCAAGCTCAGCGATTCGATGGTGACGAGTCAGGCACCGGCCGCGAATATTTAAAATGCAACGTCGCCCATTTCAAATCGCGCTCCAATAATTTAGTCACGAATACCCAAAACTGAAATCGCCAAACCCGCGAATACCAAGGGTTTATTGCATAGCGGTTTCCTCGCTCTTTTCTCAGCTGTCTCCGCAATCCAATGCTGCTCAAGCGAGCGCGAAGTGCTGTTCACTTTCACCGGTCGCTCTGAGCCATGGGTGGAATTTCCACATTACTGGGGCAGGGGTCAGTCTATTAACGAGGCAGCCGCCCACTTTTGACTTCTCACAGTTGTAGGTCACATCGTCAGCCCCGGAGTTATGAAGGGCTGTCAGTTCCTGGCTGATATTTAAATTCGTGATCATGAGTTGAGAACGCTGGCAAGTCCACCTGGCTGCGTCTACAAATAGACAATGTTCCCTTCTAAAACTCTCCAGTCTGGTTGTTACAAGCTGGGATGTGCCGTGTTGACGAGCTGTGTGACCGACGTGTTTTGACAAGTAGCCGTCGGCGCTGCTGGGTGGCGAAGCCGGGGGTTTCGGGGGTCAGGGTTTGTGGAAGTTGGGCTGTGGGAAGGGTCTGCTGCTGCTGCTGCTTTATGCCGGGTCCCTGGTGGCACTGGAACAAAAAATTCCCCCAAAAATACAGGAAGGAATTAAAGCTGCAGGCAGTGTGGCAGCATTGGGGCAAGGCTTGTTGTCGTAGGGCAATCCAAACAAAAAGATCCATATCCGGACAGGGGCTGGCACTCGGGCTCATGAGAGGGATGTATGTATGTGTGTACGTTGAACTTTTTTGCAACGTCTGTAGCCAACTGCGCTAATCGGTGGTGCGGGGGTTTAGGTATGCAGTAATTGCCCCACAATAAAGAACGGTGCACACGCAGGCCGGAGGCTTTCCCTGCACAGTCGTGAAGAGTCCGATTCTACGGGAATGGACGCGGTTCATGCCTTGGCCGAAGGGTTCCTTCGTGCGAGTGTGTATGTACGTGTATGTGTATTCAACTTCTTTTGCACCATACGTAGCCAACCGTCTTAATCGGATTTGCAGGGGACGGGCAACAAACTAAATGCAACAAGCAGTTCTAAAGAAACGAGTTTCTCAATCTAGGTGATTTAAAAGTGCATGGCTCCAGTGGCTTCCTAATATCGGAAGGAAGAGCGTTCCAGACTGGCCGTGGGAGCGCATCTGAAAGCGTGCGATGCTGTTACCATCTTGGTTCGATGGCCAGCCAAAAGCCACTGCTGCTGCTGCTGCTGTGAGGATGGACCGGAGCTTGCATGGCGATGGTTTATGCACCTTGACGAGATCAGCAAGGTGTTGTGGTTCATTTGTGGTGAGCACTTTGTGAGTTTTGGCCAAAACGTCCCCACCGTGGGGCATGTAATCATCCATCTCCTTCCCCACCCACCCCATTCAATGAATTTAAATCCAGGGTCACAAACCCATTCAACGATGAATCTTTTATGAATGTTTTTGTCTCGTTCGTACCGTCTCACTTGTAGTATCAGCCCCGTACGTGGTCTTGTTTGTTCTGCGTCATTAATTTAATGAGGCTAAATTTGTGGTTTGAGTAGACTTTATAAAAAGCTTATGCCACTGTTTCTTACGCTTATAATAATGATAATTTATTATTTATTCAGGAGAGCTACGTTCAGTCCAAGGACTCGTTTTGCAGCAGGGTCCTGCCCACATCAAGATGTTTTCGGTCAGTTTACGGGTGTTTAATGTGTGCTTGCCACTGTCCCACCACTCTCTCCCCAATTCTATAAATATACAGCAAAACAAGTGACCTGCTCCTTCTTCAGTAAATAGTCCTTTGCATTTAAAATTGGTTCATAAACATAGGATTGCTCAAAGGTAAGAAAGGCTGAACGTTTCGACTGACAGATGACCAGGAAATGGTTTATGTTACAGCTATAATGAATATGTTTACATATATTTCGAGTGCGGCTAAAATGAAAAAAATATTAATAAAATCAGCCACTGTGTGCATCTGGTCCTTCTGATGCAGGCGGAGTGCTTGGTGCAGATGAAGTGATACGATCCGGGTTTAATGAAAATTTAATTGAGATTTAGATTGAATGGATTGCGTATATTTTTTTATCGTGCATCTGCAAAGCCATTGGTATATTTGGGTGCTTACCCGTACTTGCACTCCCAGCCGTAGGAGCAGTGGTTGCTAAACCATCGATGGAGCCATATCGAATGAATATTCCTCCGTGTGTTGCGATCCTTCACCCCTAGCCATGCCTCCTGGACAGGCATCACTGACTGCGACGACCGTGCGCGAGCAGCATCACCAGGTTGAGCGCGGGCGGGCCCACGTTCGGTCGCGTTCTGGCAGCAGTTTCACTCTTACATTTCACTTTGAGTGTTTCCGTCCAAGTGGAGTGACATCTCTTTGCGTGGCACGGCGGACGGGCGGATGACCGAGTCGTCGTCGTCGTCACGCGCTAACCCAACCAGACGCAGTTCTACGCTGCTCGCGAGGCCGGGCAACGGAGAGTCTGTGTCGTGCGCCGCGCTGGCACGGCTTGGGGGGGAGGAGGGGGGGAGTGCCGCGGTGCCGATGGGTTTGCGCGTGGCGTGCGCGCGTAGCAGCTTTGGTCTTGGCTGAAGACCGCTTGTCTGCAACGTCCATGCCTAATGGGCACTCGTGCGTGCACTCGCATGTCCCCCTGCGCTTTGCCGACGCTGCGCGGTGTTGCGAGCGCTGAGAACGCTCAAAAGGGATTCGTTTTTCACTTCACTGCCACGCGATAAAACCGAAAAAGAAACCCAATAATGACTTTCCGGAGACACTCGTTGCGTCTGCGTGCGTTGTGTCACCACGTTACACGTTGAGGCCGTGGTAAGCATAGTTTGTTCATAAGGTGGTCACTTTCACAGTCCGGGTAATACTACTAATAATAAAACTTTCATTTTGTATAGCGTAATTCATGCTAATAGCATCCCACAAAGGATCCAAATCCTCTATACAGCCACTACCAAGCAAATGAAAACCCAACTAACCAAAAAACAAGGAATAAACTAATGAAGAAATGGCACCAAAACAAAAAGCACAAACATCAAAAAGTTATCGCGACAAAAAAATGAGTCCACGAAGTCTCAACATCCCAGACCCACAGTCCCAACTTCTCAACAAAGCCAGGAAACTGTCACGGGAGGAAGGGGGCGGTAAGGTGCCCATTCAGAGCTTGCCGGTGACCACCTTATGAAAACAAGATTATTATTTTCCACCTTCACTGTCTCCACCGTGCCACCACCACCAACACTCCACATCTCCTCCGTGTCACCCCACCCTCCCTGTCTCCAGCATGCCATCACCATGACTAATGAAACATCGGTTTAAAAGTTATATTTATATGGATACAAATTTTGTACCTGCAATTATATCCTGCTTGTGCTAAGTGGCATCACGTCATGAGACGAATAATCCATTCGGCTCTCTCGTGCAACCCTTGGTGTCGGACACCGACCCACGGAAGTGGATCTCGCAGAGCTACCTCCTGGGGTCTTTTCAAATTTTGTACAAATAGAAAATTGTGCTTCCGCAATGTTTTTTTATTTTTGTCACGACTTGTTGCAGCGTATTCCCCGCGTGTTGTCCGTCCCCAGTTTACAGTGTGCGGCTCTTGTGCCTTAATGGTCCCAGAAGGCAGGAAGTGCCGCGCTCCGTGATTTTCTAAACTCTGCTACCCGCGGAGCTTCTCTCTTGCATCCGGTGGCTTCGCCTTAAATGTAATTACGCAATCATTATTTGTGGGAAATGTTTTAAAAATTAATTTACATTGTATTAAAAGGAAATAATTGACCAAACATCGCCAATAGAAATACTGCGACGCGTTGCAGCGGGTGGCAGACGGATCATCATTCTTCACGGAACGGCGACACGGTGGTTTCAAATACAACGTGGGGCTATAAATTGCGAGCGAGCGAACGGCAGTGGCTCCCAGAGGTCGCCCACCGAGCGGGGGGCAGCGCCTTGCGTTCAGAGGCCACTGCCAAAGGAGCAGAGCTTGGAGGTCTGGAGTTGACCTCGCAACCGCTGCAGGATCCGTCACGTAGAAGGAAGCATTGGCAGGCAGTATTCACTGGCATTGGAAAAGTCTGCTGGCATTTTTGGGTTTGACCTCTGGAGGGTAGTTGGCTCGGCAAGAATAGGTCCGAACATTGGATTTGCCGTGAGGAGTAAGTGGTATAAAGCGGTATGCTGCACGATCCTCCGAGTTAGCCACGGTTGGCTACGTACGGTACGAAAGAAGAAGATAGGGTCCAGATTCATGCCTTGTTCCTGAGTTTTCTCCACCGTTGATATTGTGAAGATATCATTTTGTCCAACAAAATATGAAAGTGAGCAATGCCCAACTTGTGAATGGGGCCATACACTTTGTAAAAAGTAGCCGTTTTGACGGTTTAGATTAAGGCATGTTGATGACGTTATCAACAATGTCAATATCTTGGACAAACGGATAAAAAAGAGCAAGATTTCGTTTTTGTTTTCCTCTAAAAAGTCCCGGCGAATGTGGGCCTTGCCTTAGGAGACCCTCGCGGATCATCTTGGGTGAGAGGCAGTGGAGGAGTCGGTAATTTATGCAGCCCTGCTTACCGGTGGAAACTTCTACTGGAGCCGCACGAGGTGAGAGTAAATCTCGAGTCGTGATCTTAACGCGCCCCGCTGCCCATCGCTAATCATTTCTTCGTGGTTCATTCATTATGAACGGCGTCGCCATTTAACGGGCGCCGCCGTGGGGGGCGGGGGGTTGCGGTGCCACGAATCCACGAGGCCGACGAGAGGCCGTGGGGGGGGGAGTCAGCAGGTAACGGACGCTCTGGTTCGTCGCTAAAAAACAATTCTTACGCTCGCGATATGCGTATCGAGTCGTGCGCACAGTAGCCCGTTAAATTTTTTATGAAAATGTTCACATTTTTTTTATTCGTAACCCGCTGCGTGTAATTGGGTTCGTGTAACCTCTCCAGCCAATAGAGGCGGCTGCATCCACTGGACTGGGTGGCACAGAGGGTTGTTGCTGTGTCGGAGCACGGGAGCCAGAGCTCATAGTTTAACTGGATTCTCCATTGCGGTGATTTCATGGCCCTCAGCCAGTTGCCCATTAAATAACTGCATAAAAGATGTGACGGAAAATTTAGTTTGCCAACCTAATCGTTTTTCTGTAGCCGTGAAGACGAAAACACGTTGGATGTTTTCCGTGCGGTGAGCTTCGTGACGGCGGCAGCAGCGGCGGCGGTGGCGTGTGGGAGGGTGCAGCAGCAACCCAGTGTGGGTACGAGTCGTGTGATTTCATCTTCCAGAGACCGCTCTGTGAACACAGGATGGTGCACTGCTAGCTGCGAGAGTTTAATGCGGAAAGCTCCCCTGGTCTTCTGACATGACACTTGATGGCACAGTTCGAGTAGAATTTGTGAAATTTCTGAATGACAAAATCATACATTGTCAAATATTCCACATTTAAACACTCGGCCCCTGAAGTAGCAACAGGCTACGCTACTTGCTGCACTGTTGACAATAAACCATGAGCGTGTTTCCCCTGGCGAGCGTCGGTGACGTCATTTTTGGATAAATGTTTCCCTTGGGCTTGTGTGTCGCAGTGCCACGATCGTGGAGATAGCCGGAGTGCCGGAGGTCGCCGGAGTCCCTGGAGCCGTGGTTGTGTGTCGTGTGCGGTGCTCTTGGGTTTTACTGTAATGAGTAAGGAAAGTTGAATCTAAATTGGGTTCCCTACAAACGACCATTCGATTCGTCATGATACAGGTTCACAATTTGATTCAAAGAATCACTCTTCTTATATTGTTGTTGTCATAGTGAATTGGTGCGGCTCCAGTGGCTGCAGAGGTCACGTGAACCTGGCTGCAGGCCGTCAGGGCGGCAGGAGGCGTCACCTGAACCCTCGGTTCGGTCGTGACAAGCGGTTCAGGTAATTGAGGATCTCAAGTTACAGCAGGAGGCGAACACCGTGTTTCCAAACCGCTGCGTTGACCCATGCCTGACCCCAAGCAAATTGGACGTGCCGCACATTATTTGTGAGCAACATAGCTCGCGCGTTACCCATGCCTATCTGCTCATCTGGACCGGGGGAACAGCGGATCGTTAATATACACAGATTTTGACCTGACTCTGGACGAGGGCTCTCAGCGGTCTAATCCCACGGCAGTTATTTTAAGTTACGTAAGCGTGGCATTTGGCCACTGTAACACGTTCTCCCGTTCAATTTGTGCAGCACGCGGTCGAAATATTAAACTCTGTAAGTGATCCACTTGGATAGGAAACTCTGTTTTCCAAAACCTGAATGAAGAATTTCGTAAAGCAAAAATAAACATCGCAGTTGTGGATGGCAGCGGCTGCTGCCAAGCCAAGCCAAGTCGGGTGATTGAGGCGACGCCGAAGACCTTGCATCCGTGGTGGATCCAGTCTGACGTAAGATGAACGGGTTAATTTTTTGTAAAAAAAAAAACTTTTGTCCAAAACAAAATGTAATTGCCTCCCATAATTTGGATTATTATTTCCATGACTGTCAAGACACACAGATGGACACACAGACACACAGACACACAGACACACAGACAGACAGACAGACACACAGACACACAGACATACACACAGACAGACAGACACACAGACAGAACAACAGCCGCCATCCGCCACCTAAGTGGCAGTCACATCACCAGGGCGCCCGTGCCAGGCCAGGTGCACTTTGAGGCCACGTGAGGTGTGTCGAAGATTCGCTGACAGGTCACGGGACAGAGGCAGGTGCCATGAATTGTTCTTGTACTGTATTCTTGGTTCTTTTGGTAAAGTCACATAGAAGGGAAAAAATAAAATCATGAAAATAAAACAATAATTTTTTTATTATTTACCTTCTATGTGACTTTACCGAAAGAACCAAGAATATGAATCCCTGCAGTCACGAAAGCTTTAAATCGTTCTTGTACTGTTTGGTGTTGTAACCTTCCTACCCACCCCTACTGGACATCTGTGAACAAGAGCTTTTAGAGCTCATCGGATTCCTCCATTAGAAATAAATATTCTGATTCTGATGATGATTCTGATCGAGATGACTGGCAGATGGCACTACTGTGCCAACTTGCTGCATTTTAGCCTCCTGGCACTCTTCTGGTTCTTGTGAGCGTCGCTCCTCTGCCCCCCGTTGTTATTGCAGGGTGACTGCCACCAACTGCCCAGTAGCAGCATCCTTCATGAGCCTCCTCCATAAAGGCCGACCTTGACACAGCTGGTACCGTTCTCAAGTCCACTCGGTTCTACATCCTGCTGTACCGCATCAGACCATCTCTTTTCCAGCAGGTGTCATGGCCGTTTAGCCCCCTCTGTCCGCCAAACAGAAGCTGCTTGGGCATGCGCTGGCTAGGCATGCGCTATATAACCTAGCCAACGCAGCCTTGCCTGCTGGAGGATCTTGCTGATGGGAATGTGTCCAGATCTTTCAAGGATTTGTGAACTCTTTATACAATCCAGCCTGGGTCAACCCAGGATGGATCGTAGGCAGGCCAGCCTGAATGTTTCTAACTGGTGCAGATGTTCCACAAGCATAGAGAAGGGAGGGCATAACTGTGGCCGAGGAAGACCCGACGCTTCGTGTGGAGCGACAGACCAGGTAGTTTCCACACAGTTCCGCAGCCGATGAAAAGATAACGTCGCCTGACCTGGCGACCCGGGTTTGATTCCCGCTCACGGCCAACACCGGTGGTGATTATCTGAACCGGTCCTGGGCCTCCCCTAGGTCGACTCAGCCTCAGATGAGTACCTGATGCGGTGTGTAAACATCGCCACTGGGGAGACAAAGGCGGCCGGACGTGGTGCTGGCCACCCACCCCCTTGTGTGCCGTGCTGGCTTTCATAGGTGCTGCTCGCTAACAGCACTTGCCCCTCTAGTCTGTTACAGGATATACGGGGGGGATCTTTTTCGTCTTTGCATGTTTGTGCCGTTTTTGTGTAGTGCTGCCCACGCGACTGGACGCGCATCTATTACTTGACTCGTACCGTTGGTATCGAGTGGTATCGATGCCAGGCTCGGAATGCGCTGGATGTTCATCCTGGGCAGAAAGGGACACCTCATTCTACGTGATACCTTTGACCGGGGTCACTTTTCTGCCGAACGCTAATGCACTTTCTCGTGCCCCCATGAAGCTGTAACCGTTTTACATCGAGCGTGTCCTCCGCACTGGCACGCCTATGCACATTACAACCACGCTGTTCCGTACAGCAACTGGGCTCCCCTTAGACTTTGGGTGGCACGGTTCCAAGACTGGTGAATTGCAGTCTTATTGTAAACAAATAATTTCGCATTAGAAAGGCCAATTTGATTTATTTTTTGTCGGTGCAACAGAAGTCCACGATGAGAATATGTCGGGAATGGTGTTTTTGACAACATCATCGGAGCAGGAAATCCCAGCATACTTTGCAAAATAACTTTCATAACAAAAAAGATAATCATCTTTTGCATTTATATGGCGCTTAACGTCCTCAACAACTCCAAAGCGCCTTGCGTCCCATCTCAAACATTCGTAGAGCACCCACCAAGCCCGCAAGCGGGCATTCGTCTGCAGGAAGTTAGCGGAGGCATGTTTACATAGCTCGCCCGTGCAGCCGCTGGGCCCGGGGTCTTGAGGGCAGCAGCCCAGCACGAGCGCGGAGCCGGTGGGGAGGCCGCGGCCTGTGCCCAATGGTGTTGTGCCGTCCCGTCCTCGCGGGGCGCCACGGTGGCCAGATGTTAACTGCCTCGCCTGGTACGCATGAGGTCGAGGCTTCGATCCCGACACTGACTCCTATGTATTTGGAGTTTGCGTGTCTCTCTCTCTCTCTCCCCGTGGTCATATGGATTTGTCTCCGGGACCTCCGGTTTTCCCCTTGACATTTAGAATCAACGTGCGTTTAGAGTATTTGAGTATTTGGCTGCTATAAATGTCGACGTGATAAGCCACTTCTTTGAGCTATCATTTGTGGTCGGGTCGCTTCTGAAAAAGAGACATATATAGCTGAGTGGACCTTACCTGGTAAAATAATTGTCGGTTTTTTTTAGCAAGTGAAAACTCTGCTCTTGAATGGAATCGCGACCCCTGTGACCCCTGTGAGCTGAGTCGGGTGGGCTCAGCGCGGGGGGGAGTTTGTTCTCCTGCTGCCTATTGGCCACGGTCTCCATCTGCGACATGGCCTGACTCCTCCGTCCGCCCCGCGTGTTGTGTTGTGCGTGCCCCTTCCCATCCACAGGATGTGCTGCTGCTGTACTACACTACATGGTGTGGCCTCTGCTCCACACTGAGCCACCGCTACCTGCAGTTGGCGTCACAGCTGCGGCACAACGGGCACCTGCGCATCGCCCGGTGAGCGGGCACGCGCACAGCGCCATCGGCGTCCCTCTCCCCGCGCCACGGTTGGCTACGTACGGCACGAAAGAAGTTCTACATACGCATGTACAGTCCGTTCTCCTATAACGCTGGAAAAATCGCGTTGTAATAAATATGTAATATGGGGTTAGAGCAACAGTCCGCGATAACACGTGATATGTGTAGGCAGACCGAACAAAGACTGAGACGCGTGGTTAGCATCTCTAGAAGCAACCAGCAGCATCTCTAGAAGCAACCAGCAGCATCTCGACGCCTTGCATGATGCTACGCCGAGGCACTCGTACGACGGCTTATTCCTACTCGCGTGACGTAGTTCCGTTCACTCGATCGCGTTATACCCAGTTCGCATCCGCGTTGTAAAAACAATATTGCCTAATACATTCATCGCATTACATCCAATTAGCTTTATGAACACAGCACGCGACGTTTTTGGGGAACAGGCTGCACATACATCTGTGTCTCGCTTCGCTCGCTGCTGCCTCTAACTTGCGCAGTGTCGAACCAGGTAGCTCAGTGGGCCTTACCTAGTGAAATAAATAAATATTTATTTTTGTTTTAGTTGAGGCGTGCACACAAGAAAGGCGTCTGGAGCACTGCTTAGCTCTTCAGCTGCGCTCATTCTCATTTGCCGTGAGTGTGCAGTCCATACTGCAATCCGTTCTTGACCGAGTAATTATCTCAAACGCCCCGCGGTTCTGCCTTCTGCAGTCGTGCTGCATGGGAGGTGCGGTGTAAATAATAAATGATGATGGCATTGTCGACGGCGACGATGATGAACGGAGCGTGAAGTTGGGCGCCGGCCGGCAGTGAGGTCATTTCACGGACAATTAAACTATATATATTTTTTTATTAAACCCCATGGGTGTCTCGCTTAACGAGCATTCGTTTTTTTTCCCTATGCAACGAGCAATTTGAATTTAGTCCAATTTGTTGGCAAAAAAAACGCAGCAAATGTTCGCATAACGAGCGGGGGGGGGACCGACCGATCAATCAAATCCGTCCCGTGGCGGGCCCGCAGCTGTTGGTTTACCAGCTGTGCCGCGCTGGGTAAGCGCCGTGTGTAATGGGTGGGCGGTGGGAGGGGTGGGGCGAGCGGTGGCACAGACTCGGACTCAAATGAGTACCTGGTGTGGCGTGTAAACATCACCACTGGGGAGACAAAGGTGGTGCTGGCCACCCACCCCTCGCGTACCGTACCGGCCGCCTTCATAGGTGCTCGCTAACAGCACTTGGCCCAACAGTCTGTTAAGGCTATACGGGGGATATGTGTCTTTGGGGGGGGGGGAGTTATTTGTGCATGCTATGAGAGAGAGAGAGGGCTGTGTGAGTGGAGAGAGTGAGTGATTTCAACTGTGGTTGTAATAAGGTGATATCATAGGTTATATGGCGGATTCAGTTTAATTTATTTGGTATAGCCCTGGTGGGCGGGGGTGGGGGGTCTTGCACTATGGTTCGTCATGTATGGTAAGCGTTAAATGTTGATGGTTTATTGCTTAATTTTAAAATGATACGGTAAATTGAGTTTGTCATGTTCCAAAAAGTTTTTCGATAGTGGACAAATTTTGGGGCTGAAACGTAGCTGAGCTTTTAACATGCGAGTGAGTCTGGCAAAATGACGCTCGCTTACCTAGTGCTCGCTTACCATGGAACGTTTCTCTCGCGTTACGGTTATTTTTAAAAATAATAATGATTCTATATTTATAAATGTTTTTATTATGCTTGTTTACCCAAGAAAGTCTCAGTCTCAACTCTTTAGTCACGAGGAGAGGGTCCTGCCATGTTTTTGCAGTAGGTGGCGATGTTGCTGCTGTGGTGTGTAATGCAATTTGAGTAATTTGCAAGTAATATTTCAGCATTCAACTAAAACTATAAACTATTTTTTATTTTACCAGGTTAGGCCCACTGAGTCCTGCAGCGCTTTTTCAGAAGCGACCTGGCTATCACAAATGATAGCTCAACGAAGTGGCTCATCACCACGTGGACATTTATAGCAGCAACCAAATACTCTAAAACGCACATTTATAGATGTGGACGGAGGAGACCAGAGAACCCGGAGGGACCCCCATGCAGAACAAGGGTACGCGGTCAGGGGTACGGGGTCAGGGGTACGGAGTTATGGGTCAGAAACTCTATACATTAAGGTGTCAGAGTCAGGAATGCACACCATGTCAACCCACACGGTTTGACCCCGTATTCTTGTACAGGGAAATTGAGTTTTCAGGTCCATATGGCGTACAGCCGTTTCAATACGGGCAACAACAAAAAACAGTCCATTTGTTTGTGTTTCTCCCTTGTGATGGGACTTTGTAGGATGAACGTTGAGATCTATAAAGGGCACGGGGTGACCAATAACGTCTGAATTGGTCTGTAATAAGGGAGTCGCTGATAAGGGGTTGACAGGTATCGGAATGCAACCCATGCCGTTCTTGCTGTGGAGGCCGGAG